ATGGAGAAAAATAAAGGGTTAGGGGAGGTAGGATGGGAGCTCCCTTTTGTCTGTTTAGGAAGACTTCTTGAAGAAAGTGGCATGTGAGCAGAGGCTGAAGAAAGCGGAATGGGGCCCCTCAGATACCTGCGAGCAGAGCATTCCGACCAAGGGGGCAGCAGGTGCAAAGGCCCTGAGGTAGGGATGTCCTGGTGTGTTGGAGGAGCCACAGGACTAGGCACTGTTGAAATGGAGTGTATTTGGAGAAGTAAAGGGGGAACCATGCAGATCTCATAGGGTCCTGAGGGTCCTGTAAGGACTCTGGCTTTTACTCGGGGTAAGATGGGGACACCGGAGGGTTTGAGCACAGGAGGGATGGGCTCTGACTCGGTGGTCACAGGGTCCGAGCCCATAGAAAGGGTGAAGACAAGTGCTAGAGCTCAGTGAGCCTTCACAACCCTCCCTCGCCCTCCCCGAGCAGCAGGAACCACACAACCCTAATTTTACAGATGTGGAAACAGGTTTGGAAGGACCCTTTCCAGGACCCAGTCCCTGCCCAGGACTGCCACCAGGACCTCCCCCCAGTGGCCCTGCATCGTCCTGTAAGTTGCCTCTCACAGATCTGACTCTGGCTCTGTGAGCTGAAGCTCCTGAAGGAGCTACAGTTTGGAAACATTGAGCAGTAAGTAACACCCGTGAGTCAGATAGGTGGTAATACAAATGTCTTAAAGAAGTTTTAGAATAAGTTACTGTAGAGCGTTTGAGACTAACGGTGGAGTAAGTCAGTGACAGCCATGTACTCAGCAGCTCTTGAGACGGATAAAAGCTGGCCAAAGTGGTCAGAGCCTCCTTGGGGACCCCTGTCGAGTCTCCTGTCTCTGTCCCTGCTCACAGTGACCACCGAGAGCAGTGATCTTCATCCCTGTTCAGCTGTCTTCTGTGCAGAGCTAGACGTCCCCGCCCCTCCGTCCAGCCCACTCTCACGCCGTGGGGCCCGGAGTGTGTGCCTGCTCCCTCCTGGGGTGCGTGGTCCTTCTCCAGCAGGATAATTGTACGGAGGGAAGCTCTACACTCGACAGAGGGCAGGGTGTCACTTGCCTGTGGCCACACAGCCGGGAAGCCAGCAGAGCCTGGGGGTGAAATTCGGATCCTCTGGACCCTGGATGCCGCCTCCTTCCTCCTTCCTCATTGGTGACCCGACCTTCTTTAGGGGAAAATCCAGGCACGCCAGCCTTGGGAAGGGCAAACTCTGGAAGCCAGGAGGCCTGATTTTGGCTCCGCACATTCTCTGGACTCTCAAACCCAGGTTCTTTTTTTATAGTTACTTCTCTTGTCATACGACACAGAAAAATGGTATTAAACCTGTTTTGTGTGGTGCAGTATAACAAACGGCCACAGGACAGAGCCCGGTGTGACCACAACAGAACCCGGTCAGCTCCTGGAAACTCCTCTGCTGCTCCTAAAGCTACCCACTCCCCCGACTTTTGTGGATTTGTTTCCTTGACGTTCAGCATAGTTTTGTAAGTGAGGAAGGTACCCCTAAACATGTAGTGTTGTTGCCCGTTCCGAACTTATTGCTAATGGACCCACACTTGATGTGTTGTTGTGTGTGTGTCGTCTTTCATTTCTTTTGTGGTAACCTTCTTACGCTCTGTCCCTGTTGAATGTGTCAGTAGTGAGTGGAGGAATGTTCTGCTGTATGAATTTACCTCCATTTGTTTTCTCCATTCTCCTGTGGGTAGACATTTGGTCTGTTTCCAGTTCGGGGGTTACTGTGAGTATTGCTGCTGTGAACATTCCAGTATATGTCCCTTGGTAAACAAACACACTCCTTTTTGTCGGGTTGGGTTGTGGAATTGCTGGGTCATGGGGTGTGGGCATGTATTGAGTTTTAATTTTTACTGCCAAGCAGTTTTCCATAGTGGTTGAACCATTTTATACTTCCACCACTGTTCATCTGTATCTTTGTCAACACTTAGCACCGTCCGTTTTTAAAATTTCAGCCATCCTGGTGGATGGTAACTTGTATTTCCTCCTAAATAACGAGATTGTGTGCGTTCCTTGGTAGCGTGGGTGACTCTTGTGAAGTGGCCTTGCTCTTTTCTCCTTGTCTCCCAGGGGGCTCACCTCAAGCCTACAAGCTGCCGCCCGGGCCCAGGCCCTCGTCCGTCCGACTCGGGCCCGGACACTCAAGGAAGCAGCGCGTGGGGATGGGGCCGTGCAGGCCCCCCCTGCCGTGGGGTGTGCTGCCTCTGGGCCGGGGCGGCCAGGGCAGGCCCCTGCGTGCTGACACCTGGCTTCCAGAGGCTGTTCTGTCATCCCGCCTGGGCAGCCTCTGCCGGCAGCTCCCTGGGGAGCAGGCCATCCTCTTGGCATCGGTGCCTGGTATTTCATCACCCCAGGACTGCGTCATAGACACCTCAGCGAGGCGCCACCCTCAGCGGGAGGACGGGTCGGGATCCAGGCGGGGCGCAGGGGATCTTCCAGTTCCTCCCCCTGCCCTTGCCCAAGCTGCTGAAATGAGAATGTAGAAAGTGGCCCCGGGGTGCCGAGCAGTGGGGAGACCCGAGGTAAATGGCTTGCTTCCACTCTCCGAGCTTCTGCCTTCCCCTGGGCATGGTCACTGCCCCTCTGGTGGGGCGGTTGAGATCATTGAGGAGGGACCCCACGAGGGCACCGGCTCCCCACTTGCTCAAGGCCACCCGGCTGGCAGTGGCTCGCGGACTCTGCGACCCTGACCACTGTTGGCCATACCTGGCTGCTTTTGCTTCTCTCTGATCACGGCAGCTGCGTGTTTGAATGCTCACCCACGTGTTCACGTGTTCCCCAGGGTCTGGGCCAGGCAGTAGGCCGAGCCTCTGCACGCAGCGGGTGCTTCAGCGCTGCTGACTACCCCGAGACACGCAGAATCACGGAGGTGAAGTCGCCGGGCTGGGGATGGGAGGGGAACGTCGAGATTGGACGCCAGGCCCACCCGGTCCTGTCCTTCCATGGCCACCCTTCCTTGGGACTTGGGTTCTCCATACCGGTTCTTTGGAACTTGCGAACTGAGCTGGTACTAGGGGAAGCGTGGTGTTCGCCCCCATGTTGGGACAACGTCTCGAACTTCCCACCACCCCCTCACGCCAGGCCCTAACTGTTCTTCCTTCCCACTTCTCCTGGCTCCTTGGCCACACCAGCCCCTTGGCAGTTCTTCACGCTCTACAAGTACTTCCTGACTCAGAGGTTTGCACTTGCTCTTCCCCTGCCCGAAATCCTTTTCCCTACAGGGCAGCGTGGCTCCCTCCCTCCTCACATGTCCCCCCTACCACACAGCTAACATAGCACCCCACATTCCCCGCCACCCTTTCTCCTGCTTGACTTTGCTTCTCAGTGCCTCTTCACCACCTGACATTGTTACACGCATACTTGTGTGTTGTCTGCCGCCTCCACCAGGGTGAGAGCTTCATGAAGGCAGGGGCCGTGTCTTGTCTTCCTGATGATTCATCTCTGGTATCCCTCTGGTTGTCTGGAGCTTAGGACACGCTCAGAGGAGATTGGTGGCATGAATAGACTCTGGAAATGTTTCCATGGCTCTGTCTGGTCCTGGGCTGGGGAGACTTGGGTTCTTTCATTATGTACTCAGCAGATATCCAGATGCTGTGCTGGTCCACTAGATTAGCACTTAATAGGTGTCGGAAGAATTGGCTGAGGAGGTGCGCAGAGAGTACCCAGGCAGCCTCTGAGGTCAGGAAGGCTTCCCGGAGGAGGCTGGTTCAGCTGAGACCTCCAGGAGGAGGGAGAACCCACAGAAGGTACAGGTACAGGGAATGGAGGCCAGAGGGATGGGCCTGAGAGACAGAAGCCTGGTTGGGGAGGGTGGGGGGCTGGAGACGGAGGTAGTACCAGGTATAATTATTGTCACGGTTATTAGGTTTTATAGAGAGCTTTCTAGGTGACCCTAAGCTCGTGGTGGAAAGGACTTTGTTCTGTGTCTGAGCACACTGGGGGGCCTGGGAAGGGTTTTTAACCTGGAGGAACGGGGCCAGATTTAGATGGAGTCTAAGGGTTGAAAGCAGAGACTCAGAGCCCAGGGAGAAGGCCAGGGCAGTTGGGAGAGGCGTCAGGACGCGGGTGAATGGACAGTGGGGGCCGCTGGGCAGAGCAGGGGCAGGGGGCAGCTGGAGTGAAGGTCAGTAGAGGCTGGGTCCTAAAGGGCCTTGAATCCCAAGTGAGGGAGCTTGGCTCTTTCCTGAGGTCAGCGGGAAGCCACGAAAGACCTTTTGAGTGGGGGAAGGATAGGGTTAGGTTTAAGGGGTCTGGCTGGTGAACGGGGACAGATTGGAGAGAGCAATAAGGGAGTGGGTGGGGAGTCTAGGGAGGGGGTGCGGGAGCCCTCGAGGGAGAGGACAGCACTGGACCTGAGCCAGTGAGCCAGGCCATCCCCAGGGCGGGAGGGGGCGGGGCAGGGGCAGAGACTGGTCACGTTAGAGGTGGAAGGCAGGCTGGTGGGATTGTCAGGCTCTCCCATCCTGGGTGGTCCGTCCGTTCATCCATCTGTGGAACGGGAGCCCCTCGGGGCTGGTCCCGCCTGCTGCAGGCGGGAGCCCCTGTGCTGCTTCTGGCCCTGCCTTTGCGGCTCAGTCCAGAACGTGATCTCTCACCCCACTGTTTACTTCCCTGTCACTGTCCGTCTTGTCTCTCCTTTCGCTTCCTCCCACTTACCTCCCTTCCCTGCCCGGGTCTGGGCGGCCTGCCACCGTCACATGCCAGGCAGTAGTGTGGCCGGCCCCCCAGCTCCCCTGGGCCATGAGAGAAAGCCGATGCCCGTGGTGTCCCTAGAGCCAGCTGCCACTTCTCTGGGGGCCGCTGTAGCTCCTGACCTGCTGTCCGCAAATAACCCCGGGCCGGGCAAGGCGAAAGGCGCCTTGGGCTCCGTGGCCCCTTTCCAGGCCTGTGGCTCTAGGTAGGGGCCCAGTGGGCGGCTGCCTCCCGCCCTCCTCCCTTCCACCCTGGGAACCTGAGACGAAGCAGCGGCCTCGGCGTCTGTCAGTCTGTCGGCTGCTGGTCCCTGAGGACGGAAGTGGAGGTCTTGGGGAAGGGACCAGGGCCTTGGTTGAGCCCCCGGGACCGGCTCCTAAGCCCCAGACAAGTGCATTCGCAGTAGGTTGCTGTCTTGTTCAAGATCCCGAGCGTCGGAAACTTGTCTTCCCTCAGTCATCTGGTGGGGGCAAAGAGGGGCTGAGGCTGAGGGAGTGACACAGGGTGGCTTGGCGCAGGGGTTTGGGGGCACTTGGTTTGCTGAGGGTGGTAGGTTGGAAGGAGGGGAGGGGGCGGAGAGAGTGTGCGAGCGCGCGTGTGTCCGTGTGTCGGGGTGGGGGGGGGCGGCAGGCAGATGCTGGCGGCTCTGAGCAGTCCCTCAGGTGCCCAGGGCTGTCTGATTCATCCCAGGTCACCGCAGTGTGGGGGCCTGGGAATGACCGGGGTGGAGGCCACTCTGGGGTGAAGGTGGGTGGAGAGGCTGCCTCCGCTCAGCAAGGCCTGCCTAGGCCGGGGAGCTCTGTTCGTTCCCTCCAGAGTAAGGCTCCGAGGGCAGGGTCAGCCCCCCCCCTCCCGCCCCCAGTTGGAGTCCCTGAGGACGAGGCCACATCTTCCTCCTCGGACTGGGCCAAGTGGGCAGGGCTCCCTATCCCCACCGCCTCCACCCTGCGCAGAGCAGGCAGAGCGGCTGGAGGGGCCGGCCGGCCGGGCTGTCGTGAGGCCAGGGGCTGTGGTGAGTCCCCCTCGAGTTCTCATGAGCTCCTCTCTTGTCTTGCAGACTGTGCTCTGTCCACTGTGCCTCCTGCATGTCCTGCTGCCCTGAGCTGTTCTAAGCTAGGTGACAGCGTGTCAACGCTGCCACCATGAATGAGGTGTCTGTCATCAAAGAAGGCTGGCTCCACAAGCGTGGTAAGGGGCTGCTTTTGTCCACTGGATTGCGTCTCTCCCCTCCTGCCTTGGCTTTGCTCCTGGCACCTGGTGCCCAGGGAGGCAGAGGTACAGGGTCTTTGCAGCCCGAGGAGCCAGGGTGCTGAGCCCTACCCGCCTGCCCCAGGCCAGTAGCTCCTTAAAACCCGTTTCATGGACTTCTTCAGCAGCAGCCTGGGGATGCTCCTGGGCATCATCCGGCATGAGCTCCCGGGCCAGGTCTCGAGTCTGCCTCTGCATTCGTGGTCTCAGTCATAGCCCCATTTTATAGATGAAGAAACTGAGGCTCGGGGAGGGGAAGTCACTTAACTGAAGTAACACAGTGAGGCAATACTCAACATTCATTCATTCCGCAAATACTCAATGAGTATGTGTGGTGTGCCAGGCCGTCCGGGCTCCCAGGCTCCTGGGACGTGTGGTGCCCTCATGGAGTTCACATTCTAGTGGGGGCTGGGGACAGCGAACAGAGAAGCAGACATACGATGTCAGGTGGTGAGGAGTGCCGTTGTGAGCAGTAGGGACTCTAAGGACGAGCCTCTCTGAGGAGGGGACAGTGATGGAGGCCCCGGAGGGAGAGGGGAGGCGAGGAGGTGAGCCACACACAGAGCTGGGCAAGGCTGTCCCAGGGAATGGGACAGCAGGGATGAAGGCGGGAGCGCGCCTGGTTGAGTTGGCCAGGCTGGCTGGAGCGGAGAGAGCGAGGGCAAGCCGGATGTGGCATCCAACCGTGCTGGGCCCTGGAGGCCACGGGAAGGACCTTGGCTTTAATTAACCCTTCAGGCGGTGGCTTTAATTAACCCTTCAGGCGGCCTGAGCCCAGGGCGCCGGGAGCTAGGGCATGGCCTTGTCTGCTTGTACGGGTGGGCAGCTGAGGCCTGGAGAAATGAAGTCATTGACAGTGAAGAGCCTACCAGCCTATTCTGTTAGAGCCCAGGCCTTCTGGCCCCAGAAGCGTGGTGCCCACCGGCTTGGCAGGGAGGGGCAGCTGTCCAGGCACTGCGGGGTGGAGGCCGACTGTCCCGGCTTCCGTGGACCTTCTCCTAGGGTGGGAGGGGGCGAAGCCTGGTGGTAGCCGCGCTCCGTATGCGTCCATTCAGTCAGTAGACGCGGACTGAGCAGCTACTATGGTCCAGGTGCTGGCGACTCGGCAGTGAACCAGATAGGCGGAAGTTCCCTTCTCACGTTGGCGCCTTACATTTAGTGGGGAGGGTGGGCGGCACCCAAGGGGACCGGTGCGAGCAGTGGTGGTAAGGGGCATGGAGAAAAATCAAGCAACGCGAGAAGGGATGTGGGAGGAAGCAGGGGGAGCTGTCATAAACAGGTGGTTAGGGAGGGCTCACTGAGAAGGGGCATTTGATAACAACCTGCAGGAGTGCAAGGAGTGAGCCCCATGGCTAACTGGGGCAGGAGAGTGCCTGTGAAGGGGCCAGCCATGAGTCCGGAGGGGGAGTGGGCTGGACGTGTTTGAAGAGACAAGGAGGCTGATGTGGGGCCCGCCTGGTGGGAACCAGGAGAAGTGCCCACCCATCGTGCCCTGTCCTGGTCTGCAGACACAGAGCAGTGATGAGGGATGGAGGTGATCCCCAGGGCCAGGCCTCCGCCATCAGACTGGGCAGGGGAAACCTGTTTCCCACTGCCTTTGCAGGCAGGGGTGGTATTTGAGGCACCTTGACCCTACCTGCTCAGGGTGGGCTGTGAGTTGTGAGTTTGGGGCTGTCGGTGGAGCTTTCTGAGCTTTGGCAGATGTCACAGTTCTAACCCTGGCTCTGCTACTTCCTTTTGGTGACTCTGAGCAAGCTCTGTTGCCTCTCTGAGCCTTGGTTTCACATCTGTAAAATGGGTTAACAGTGTAGGCCTGTGACCTCAGTTCTCCGAGGGCAGGGATTTTATCTGGCCATTTACTATGGTATCCCCAGGGCCTAGGAAAGTTTCTGGCATGCAGTAGGTGCTCAATAACTGATTGCTGACTGAATGATTGGGATTGTGTGGGCGTGCTATGTGGGTGCTAGGGTGTTGCCGGGGTCTCAGCTCCTGAGTGTCCCCAGGCCAGCGGCTTGCTGGGCTGGGCTGTGAGGAGCTCTGGAGGCGGCCAGAGAGCTGTTGCTGGGGCGGGAGCTTGGGTCTGGTTTAGGGCCGCTGACGGCATTAAATGGGTCTCAGCCCCTCTTACGCCTTCAGCACCTCCATTCATGCTGCAGGGACCCCGATGGGCTGCTGGGATGGCCTAGCCAGGACATACCCACCTTGGGTTTGCACCGTATACACCCAGAAGCACGGTGCTCCCGGGCCTCCCGTTGCCCGCCATTCTTTTTTTTTTTTTTTTTAAAGTAAGCTCTAGGCCCAATGTGGGGCTTAAACTCACGAGCCCGAGATCAAGAGTCGTATGCTCTACTGACAGAGCCAGCCAAGCGCCCTCCCGTGGCCCACCATTCTGAGCAGAGGTGGGCAAGGGCAGGTGGGCACCACTGGCATCTCACCCCACCTCTGGTGGTTAAAAGTAGTAGAGCCCCAGTTGACCATGTGCCTGTTCGGTGCCAGGCACAGGGCTCTGCTCTAGGCGAGCCCAGTTTTGTTGCGTTCCCCATAGCTACCCTGGGAGGCGGGCTCCATCTTAGAGGCAAGGAAGCTGAGGCTCGGCGGGAAGACTGATTTACCCCAAGATTCAGCGAAGACTTACCCTCTGCCTCCTGAACCAGCTCTCTCAAGGCCTGGCCTACAGGCTGCCTCTTGCTAAGCAGGGTCTGCTCAAGGAACAGGCCAAGCAAGAGCACAGCTCTTGGAGTCCCTCATGCCCTGTGCTGGTCCCCTTCCTGACATGGCCTCAGCACACCCTCTGCCGGTCCCCACCAGGCCAGCCCCCGTCTGCCAGTTTTGAGGCAGGCAGTGTAGTGGTCAGGAGTGGGGGGCTCTGGATGGAGCAAACCTGAGTTCGGATCCCACCTCTCCAGTTAACCCCCGTGAGCCTCGGGCAAGTAATGGAGCCTCTGGGCTTCAGTGTTCTTGTCTGTAAAATGGGATTGTTGTGAGGATGTTTTTCCTTTCCTCCTAGGTTTCCTTTTTTTTTTTTTTTTTTTTTTCTTTTTTCATTTTTCCTTATTACCAACATATAAACCACCACAGGTGAGTGCCCGGATCATAAACTCACTCTAAAACCAACATCCAGATCAAGATGTAGAACAAGACAGTCCCCAGAAGACCTCTGCCCTTCCCAAACAGGAACACTTTCCTAACTGATAGTAGCCTTAGGTGTGTGTTTCTGGGTTGGTTTGTTTTGCTCTTAAAAATGGAGGGAGGGGCGCCTGGGTGGCTCAGTTGGTTAAGCAACTGCCTTTGGCTCAGGTCATGATCCTGGAGTCCCGGGATCGAGTCCCGCATCGGGCTCCCTGCTCGGCAGGGAGTCTGCTTCTCCCTCTGACCCTCCCCGCTCTCATGTGCTCTGTCTCTCTCATTCTCTCTGTCTCAAATAAATAAATAAAATCTTCAAAAAAAAAAAAAAATGGAGGTAAAATTGGGGCTCCTGGATGGCTCAGTTGGTTAAGCGGCTGCCTTCAGCTCAGGTCATGATCCCAGGGTCCTGGGATCGAGCCCTGCATCGGGCTCCCTGCTCAGCGGAGAGCCTGCTTCTCCCTCTCTCTGCCTACCACTCTGCCTATTTGTACTCTCTCTCTCTCTGTCAAATAAATAAATAAATAAATAAAATATTAAAAAAAAAAAAGGAGGTAAAATTGGGGCCACCTGGGTGGCTCAGTCGGTTAGGCATCTGCTTTCAGCTCAGGTCATGATCCCAGGGTCCTGGGATCGAGCCCCACATCGGGCTCCCTGCTCAGCAGGGAGTCTGCTTATCCCTCTGTTCTCTCTCTTGCTGTCTCAAATAAGTAAAATCTTTAGAATAAGTAAACAAAATCTTTAAAATAAATAAATAAAATGGAGGTAAAATGGGGGCACCTGGGTGACTCAGTTAGGGGTCTGCCTTTAGCTCAGGTCATGATCCCAGGGTCCTGGGATCAAGCCCTATGGCAGGCTCCCTGCTCAGCGGGAAGTCTGCTTCTCCCTCTCCCTTTGCCACCCTCCCAGCTCGTGCTCATTCTATCTCAAATAAATAAAACTTAAAAAAAAAATTAAAATGGAGGTAAAAGTTGCATAACACGAAATTTACCATTTTAAAGTGTGCAATTCAATAGCCTTTAGTACATTCACAGTGTGGCGTAACCACCACCTCTGTCTAGTTCCAAAACAGTTTCATCGCCCTAAAAGAAACCCCATACTTATTAAGCAGTCACTCCAAAACAGTTTCATCGCCCTAAAAGAAACCCCATACTTATTAAGCAGTCACTCTCCATTCCCCCCTCCTCCCAGCCCCGGCGGCCTCCGGTTTGTTTTGATTTGTTTTCTGTCTCTAAGGATTGACTTATTATGGACATTTCATACAAATGAAACATAAAATAGGTGGCCTTTTGTGTTCGGCTCCCTTTCACTTACCATAATGTCTTTGAGGTTCATCCATATCGTACCTTGGATCAGCACTTCTTTTCTTCTTATGGCCAAACAACATTCCATTGCATGAGAATACCACATTTTGTTTGTCCATACATCAGTGGTGAACATTTGGGTTATTTCTACCTTTTGGCTATTGTGAATAGAGCTGCTACGAACATTTGTGTACAAGCATTTGAGTACTTGTTTTCAATTCTTTTGGGTACATTCTTAGGAGTGGAATTGCTGGATCATATGTTCTGTATTTATAATCGGTATTTATATAGGTTATATAAATTGGGTTACATATTCTATAATTATAATTTAATGCATTCTGTGTGATTTGATAATATATTTGTTTTTATGTTATCAGGGTTGTATATTCTGTATTTATGATCTACAGCATATTCTATATTTAAAATTTTTGAGAAGCACCAGACTTTTCCATAGGGCTGTAGCATTTCACATTCCCACCAGCCGTGTACAAGGGTTTCACTTTCTCCCACATCCTCACCAGCACTTGTTCTGTTTCTTTTCTTTCTCTTTTATTATTATTATTTTAAAATTTTTTTAGAAGGGGGAGGGACAGAGGGAGAGGGAGAGAGAGAATTTTAAATAGGCTCCAAGCCCAGCATGGAGCCGGTTGCAGGGCTCAGTCTCACAACCTGAGATGATGACTTGAGCTGAAATAAAGAGTCAGACGTGGGGTGCCTGGGTGGCTCAGGTCATGATCCTAGGGTCCTGGGATCGAGCCCAGAGTTGGGCTCCCTGCTCAGCCGGGGAGCCTCCTTCCCCTCTCCCTCTGCTGCTTCCCTTGCTTGTGTGCTCGCTCTCTCTGTCAAATAAGTAAAGAAAATCTTCAGGGAAAAAAAAAAAAAAAAAAAGACGCTGAAATGATTGAGCCACCCACGCGCCCCTTTTCTTTTCTCTCTTTTAAATTAAGTCCTAGTTGGTATGAGGTGGTAGCTCATCATGGTTTTGACTTGCATTTTCCTAATGACTAATGATGAGCATTTTTTCATGTGCTTGATGGCCATTTTTATATCTTTAGAGAAATGCCTATTTGAGCCCTTTGCCCGTTTTTTAATTGGGCTATTTATCTTTTTGTTGTTGAGTTGTAAGAACTCTTTATATATTCTGGATACTAGACCCTTATCAGAGCTATGATTTGCAGATATTTTTGCCCATTCTGGTTGTCTTTTTATCTTCTTGATAATGTCCTTTGCACGTAAGTTTTATTTTTAATGATCTACTTTTTTTCTTTTGTTGCTTGTAATGTTGGTGTCATATCTAAGAATCCATTGCCAAATCCAGGGTTATGAAGGCTCACCCCATGTATTCTTCTAAGAGTTTACCATTTTAGCTCTTATATTTAAGTAGATCCACGTTGAGTTAACTTTTATATATGGTATATGGTGTGAGGCTGGAGTCCAGCTCTGTTCTTCTGCATGTGGATGTCCTGTTGTTCCACCATTTGTTGAATAGACTATTATTGTTTCCCCACAGGATGGTCTTAGCACTCTTGTTGAAAATTGATTGATCATATGTGTGAGGTTTTTTTTTTGACTCCCAGTTCTATTCCATTGGTCTGTCTATCCTTAGACCATGCTGATTTGATGACCGTAGCTTTGTAGTAAGTTTTGAAATCGGGAAGTATAAAGATTGACTTTTCTATTTCTGCAAAAAGAGTTGTTGGAATTTCAATAGGTGCCATGCCATGTTGAATCTGTAGATTGCTTTGGGGAGTGTCGCCGTCTTAACATATGAAGCCTTCTAATCCATGCACATAGGACTTTTTTTAAAAGATTTTATTTGACACAGAGAGGGAGCACAAGCAGGGGTGGCGTGGCAGGCAGAGGGAGAGGGAGAAGCAGGCTCCCTGCTGAGCAGGGAGCCCGATGTGGGGCTCCATCCCAGGGCCCTGGGATCACGACCCGAGCCGAAGGCAGATGCTCAACCATCTGAGCCACCCAGGCGCACCACATAGGACATCTTTGCATTTGTTTAGGGCTTTAATTTATTTCAGCAGTGTTTTGTAGTTTTTAGTGTGTACATCTTTTGCCTCCTTGTACTATTGTAAATGGAATTTTTTTTAAATTCCCTTTTTGGACTGTTCATTGTTAACATATAGAAACAAGAGCTGGTTTTTGTGTGTTAATCTTGCCACATCTATTAGCTCTTATCATTACTTTGTGGATTCTTTGTGATTTCTGCAAGTAAAGTTCGTTTTACTTATTCCTTTTCAAGTTTAGTGCCTTTTATCTCTTTTTCTTTTTCTCTGGCTAGAACTTCCAGTGCAGTGTTTGGTGAAAGCAGTAGATATCTTGTTTTTTTCCCTGATGTTAATGAGAAAGTTTTCAGTCTTTCATCATTGAATGATAAAACCTGTGGATTTTTCATAGATGCGCTTTATCATGTGAAGGAAATTCTCTTCTATTCCTAGCTTGCTGAGTATTCTTTTATCAAGAAAGCGTGTTGGGTTTTGTCAAATATTTTTCTGTCGCAGTCGAAATGATCATGTGGTTCCCCCCCCTCCTTTGTTCTATTAATGTGTATTGCATTGATTGATTTTCATATATTGAACCACCTTTGCATTCCTGGGATAAAACCTGCTTGGTCATGTCTGTATACTCCTTTGCGCTGTTGGATTTGGGATTTTGCTGGGTTTTGAACTTTATATCGACATTGGAAAGAATTGAATAAGTTAAGTCCTAAAAGATACTTAGGGTAGCACCTGACACAGTATATACTAGAGTGTTACCTAATCCTTGTCATCCGTTAATGGATACCTCCCTGTGAGAGGAGACAAAGACTCAGAGAAGTCAGGTGACTTATTGGAGGCCATACAGCACACCCAGCTCAGAGCCCACCCTGCAGTCCTGCTTCCTGTGTGCCATGGGGGTCGGGGGCCTGGCACAGTCTTGTTTTACTCGCTTGCACGCTGGGCTGATGATAACAAGCGTTTACTGAGTGCCTGTGGTGTGTTGGGCCCTAGGCTGGATGTCTTATGGTGGCCATCTCATGTTCTTTTAAGAGCATGAGCTAGAATTCACACACCGTACAATTCAGGAATTTAAAGTATACAGTTCAGTGGCTTTTAGTGTAGTCAGAGTTGTAGACCCCTCACCGCAGTCAATTTTAGAGCATTTTCACTCCCCTGGAAAGGACCCTGCCCTTCCCCTTGGCCATTCCCCTCCGACTTCCCCCCACACTTCCCCCTCTCAGTCCTAGGCAGCCACTAATCTGCTTTTCACCTATAGATTTGCCTACTCTGGACATTTTATACACATGGAATCATAATTTGTGGTCCCAAGCTTTTTTCACTTAGCATAGGTTATGGTTCGTCCATGTTGTATGTAGTGTGTAGTAATAACTTTTTCATAGGACTGAGTAACATTCTCTTGTATGGATATATGCCACGTTCTGTCTCTCTTCATTAGCTGATGGGACTTTAGAGTTTCCCCTTTTTACAATTATGAATAATAATTGCTGTGGCCATTTACACACATATTTTTCTGGAGGTATGTTTCACCATCTTAATTTAATCCTCAGCGGCCCTCTGAGGAGTGGGTCCTTGCCGTGTGGGTGTGTGTACACGGGGTGCCTGGATATTCATGGTTCGAACAAATGGAAGCAATCAAGGGGCACTCAGAGGGCGCAGCAGCAGTTATACCATGCCTGGCACAGTGTTTTGACATTTGATCCACCTGCACGGCTGTCCTGGTGAATACCAGCCCAGGGGATTTGGCCTTACAGGGCCACAGGGCATGTGTGTTTGGAAGCCTGGGCCTCCCCTGGGAGCGGGCCACGCGCTGGCAAGGACGGCCAGGATGGCTTGCTGCTGGCCACACGCGGAGGCAGCTGGTGCCCTGGGGCACTGCAGCAGGCGCCTTCCTGCCAGGCCTGACCTCTGGATCACTGGGGCCCAGCCCAGCGCCCGGCCTGGCCCAGCCTGCGTCAGCAGGGGCTGCCTGGAGGTTTTCTCTCTCCTCCCCGCCCTCTCATCGGCCCTCCTCCCACCCGGGTGCCCTCTGTGGGGTGCTGTGACACAGGGCTGCCTGCCCTGACCTCTCTCCCTCCCCCCTGCTTCGGCTCAGGTGAATACATCAAGACCTGGAGGCCCCGGTACTTCCTGTTAAAGAGTGACGGCTCCTTCATTGGATACAAGGAGCGGCCTGACGCCCCTGACCAGACCCTGCCCCCCCTGAACAACTTCTCTGTCGCAGGTGCGTCTCGGGGCACGCCAGGCCAGAGGTCAGGTGCTCGGGGAACCAACCGCTGGTGGGTCCAGGGGCACCCGGGGGTTGGCCTTTCTTGGGTGTGGGCCTGTCCAGGGCCTGCTTGCCCTCGGATCCATTTCCCACCCTTCCCTCCTGCCCCACCTTTGTGTCAGCTGGGCCTGGAGTGGGAGGGCTGAATTGGTGGCCAGTGGGGAGCCGGGCATTTCCCCAGCCCCCCGCCCCAGGCAGCACCGCCTCCGCGGTTCTAAATCTGCCGACCAGGCCCCGTGGTTCTGGTGGTGTCAGGCACCTGCCATCCTTCCTGCGCTCTGGTAACAGTCCACTTTTCTGTTCCTCTGACGTTAGCTAGAGACAGACAGCGTGGCCTCCCGCTCATCTGATCACAGGGCTAACTTCACATCCTCTGTCCCCTCCGTGGTACCGCAAGTGGTGCCTTCCAGCTGGACTCTGGCCAGTGAAAGCTTGGCAGGCCCAAATCCCTGACCACTGAGTTGTCACTGTCTGGTGGTCTGTCCCCCTCCCCAACATACACTGGACCTTGAGCCCCATAGAGACAAGGCCAGGGCCGACTCTGTCACTAACGTATCTCTGCACCATCTGGCATGCAGGAGGTGGCTCAGGGAATGTGGGCTGCAGGGCAGCAGGGCTGTCCCCTCACTCTCCCGGCTCTGTCCCCTCTTTCTGTCTGCAGAATGCCAGCTGATGAAGACCGAGAGACCACGGCCCAACACCTTTGTCATACGCTGCCTGCAGTGGACCACGGTCATCGAGAGGACCTTCCACGTAGACTCTCCAGATGAGAGGTGAGCTTGGGCCTCCGTGTGGCCACCCTTTGAGGGTGGCCTGGACTAGCGTGAGGAGAAGGTCCACAGATGGACAGAGTCCCTTGGGCCCCTGCCTAGGAGTTTCCTGTCTCAGCCCTTCTGAGAGCTAGAAAGAGCAGGGGTTCTTGGTCTGTAGACCTTCTTCTGTGTTCTCAGACTGGAGGGTAACATTGGAATCATGGGTGGAGCTCAACAGTACAGAGCTTTGGGCCCACGTCAGGGCCTCCCACTGCCTGCAGATCTGTGGAGGGTCAGGGAGCTGCATTTTTTTTTTAAAGATTTTATTTATTTATTAGAAACAGCATGAGAGGGGAACGGGTCACAGGGAGAAGCAGGCTCCCTGCTGAGCCGGGAGCCCGATGCGGGACTCGATCCCAGGACCCTGGGATCATGACCTGAGCCGAAGGCAGTTGCCTAACGAACTGAGCCACCCAGGCTTCCAGGGAGCTGCATTTTTAATGACCTGAGCCGAAGGCAGTTGCCTAACGAACTGAGCCACCCAGGCTCCCAGGGAGCTGCATTTTTAATGAGCATCGCCATTGATTTTGAAGCAGATGGTCCAGAGATTCAGTATTAAAAGGATCAGTTTAATCATCAGAAGAGATGATACAGATTTACCTAGTTCAAAAGTCAAACAGTGCCAGGAGGTGTCTGTCACTTCTGCCCCATTCACCCCCGCCCCCCGCTAACCGCTCTTCTTCTGTCTTCTTGGAGAGCTTCATGGGTGGACCGGCTCGTTCAGATAGACGTTTGCACCCTGCTCCCCTGGTTGGTTCTTTTTACACGAAAGGTAGCATCGTACACAGACTTCTGAACTCTGTGTTTTCCTCACTGTGTCTTGGGGCGTCCTTCTTCAGTCTCCAGAGAGCTGCCGCCTCCACCGCACTGCCTTTGGTTTTTCTTTTAGACAGTGGCACACTGTGTCCCCAAGTTTCCTGAGCGGGTTCTTGATGCACGTGATCGGGGTTGTTTCCAGGCTTTGGCTCATTCCAGGTGGTGCCACGGTGAAGTACCCTGTGCTTACCTCATTCGACGGATGTGCAGGCGAGCCTGTAAGAGGAGTTCTTAGATGCGGGATTTCTGGGTCACCAGGAATATGCATTTGTGATTTTTAAGAGTGATGTCTAAGAGTCCTCGCAGCCTTCTGTTGTCTAACATTTGGATTTTTACCAGTCTGATCAGTGGGAAGTGGCACCTTAAGGTGGTTTTCACTGACCCTTTTGTCTTTACGGGTGAGGTCGAGCATCCTCTCCTACCTTCAGGGGCCACACGAGTTTACCTTTCTGAACTGTCTGTTCATAACCTTGGCTTATTTTTCTGTTGGGTAGTCAGTCTTCATCTCATTTCTGAAACCCCTTTATGTACCAGGAAGCTTAGACCTTCGTAATGAGTAGCACATATCTTTTCCCCCACTTTGTCCCTTTGGACCTCACTTTGAGAAACACTTCTTTGGCTTGTGTTTGGGTGAGGATTCAGCCGACCCTGTGGAGAACCCAGGAAAATGGCGCCGTCCCTGAGAATCTTTGGCCATGACAGAAGTATTCAGTACCTGTGGTGTCCGAGAGGGGGGCCAGGAGTCACAGGTGCCTTTTGAGCTTTTGAAATGTGAAATGTGGCTAGTGCAACAGAGCTGGAATTTTAATTTTTATTTAATCAATTTAAACTTAAGTAGCCGCATATGGCTGGTGGCTCCCTCTCGGTGGTGGCTCCCTCTCGGACAGTGTGTATCTAGAGGATACGCAAAACTATCATAAGATGTATTTCCATAGTCTGTAGTGTAATTGTCATCATGTGGCCTCCCAAAGTTAGAAATATGCCTTCCCCGCCACGGGCAGCAGAGCTCCCTACCATCTCAGGCCAGCTGAGGTGTGACACTGCTGAAAGCTGGGGACAGAAACCATGGACTGCCAGTAAAAGCAAATGGAGACCAGTAGGTACATAAGGCCTGAGTGTCGGAAGGTGTTGGATAGGAAGACGAAGGAGGAAAAGGGACCAGCATATGCATATGCAAAGGCCCGGAAGTGAGACAGGTTGTCATCTTAGGGACCACAGAGGGTTCTCCGTCACCAAAGAATCAAGGGCCAGGGGCCTCGGAAGAGGGCCAGTGGAGGCCTTGCCGGTGAGCTCAGCCAGGTCGTGGACTCCATTTGGAGATCCCTCCAGGGCTTGGCAGGTCGTGAATCAATTGGGGTTTGTCACAGGGTCGCTCAGAGATTCAGGGGGATGGTAAACAGGAAACCCTTGATTCAGCAGTACCTGGTGCACAGTTTGCAAGCCTGGAAAAGGAGCAGTGGGGAGCTGGCAAAGCGTTTTAGTAGGCAAGAGCCCTGCTCTGCTTTCCGTTTTGGTGAGATTCTGTGCTCTTCAGCATGGGGAAGAATCCCTTTACCAGGATGGTGGGGGTTGGACAGGCCCTGCCTTGCTCCTTTTCTTAGCACCTGCTGCTGCTGGAGAGGAATCTGCTGGGGCTGCTCTGAGGCCAGACCCCAGATTCCTGGCCTTAACCCTGGTGGAGGAGTGAGCTAGCGAGAGCGAGGATGCTCACTTGTGGCTGTCCTCACTGGCCTGCCCCACATAGGCCCGAGCCTGGGGAGAGGGGGGCGCGGGGTGGGGGTGTTGTGTAGAGGCCACAGTGGCCTGCTCCCTGGGCTCCTGGGAACCTCTCCTGCCTCCCCCCAGACTCCCTACCCCTACCCCTGCCCCCTTGTTCAAGATATACAGGAAAGTGGAAAGAGTCTAAGAAACGAATGTGCAGGTACCCTGCACCTAGACTCAGCAATCCAGCATCTGCCGTGTTTGCCTCATCTGGCTTTGTTTTGTGCTGAATTGTGCACTTCCGATCACACTTCGTGACACTTTGCTCCTTCATACAGCAGGCGTCTGCTAAGAATGAGGACTTTTCCTACAGAGTCATGATGCCGTTACCACAGCTGACTGTTCGTAGCAGATACTTACCAATCTCTGCATGTCCATGTCTACTAGAATTTCCCCAGTTGTCCTCAAAATGTTTTTCTAACCAGGATTCCTTCAAGGTACTTGTCTCTTTGGCCTTTTAACCTTGTTCAGGCCTGTCTTTTCCCCCCACAAAACATTGATTTTTTTTTTTTTTCCCAACAAGCCGGGCTAGTTGTCTTGTGGAATGTCTCAACGCTAGGGATGTGTTATTCTACTGCCTTTTGGCACTGTTTGCTTTGTTCTTCTGTGCCTATGTTTCCTGTAAACCGGAAATTAGGGCTTGAGCAGGGTTGGCAAACCACGGGCTGGCCTCCTGTTTTTGCAAAGAAAGTTTTATTAGAACACGCCATGCCCATTCATTTACAAATTATCTATGGCTGTTTTGCCCTACTTGGCAGAGTTGAATAGTTGTAACCGAGATTGTATGGCCTACAAAGCCTAAAATATTTATTCTTTGGCCCTTCCCAGGAGAAGTTTGCAGATGTTTGGTCTGAGTGGGTATACTTAATAGTGCATGATGTTATTATGACCTTTTAATGTAAATCTTACTGTGTCATTTCTCTGCTTAGAACTCTGAGTGGCTTTGCTTCCACTGGGAGTAAACTCCAGAGTTTATGCCATATTCTTTTTTTTGAACATTTTACTTATTTGGGGGGTGGAGAGAGTGTGCACATGGGGGGAGGAGCAGAGAGGGAGGGACAAGCAGAGTCCGCACTGAGCATGAAGCCCAATGCAGGGCTCTATTCCACGACCCTGAGATCACGACCTGAGCTGAAATCAATAGTCCTATGCTCACCCAACTGAGCCATCCATTTTTTTTTTAAGTGGGCTCCACGCCCAGCACCCAGCATGGAGCCCAATGCGGGGCTCAAACACAAGACCCTGAGATCAAGACCTGAGCTGAGATCAGGAGGTGGCCGCTTAAGACTGAGCCAGCCAGGGGCCTCAGTTTATGCCATATCCTCCTAAGTGCTATGTGATCTGGTCTCCTCTCCACATCCTTTTCTATTGCTGGTTTCCTCACTGTAGCCACACTGGTCTCTTTGCGATTCCTTAAACCTGCCAGACACACTTCCTGCCTCAGGCCGCAGTGTCGGTCCTGCTGTGTCACTCCCACAGTGGAGCTCGGGTCCTTCGCCGTGGTGGGGACAGGGGAGGAAGCGGCTGGCCCAGGCTGCCCTCATGGAATCGTGCTTGCTGGTGCCTTGTCTCTCCTCCGCCCCTCGGCCACCTGGCAGCCTTTGCCTGGACGACTGCCATAGTCTCCTGATGCTTGCTCTCCATGCCCCCGATCTGCACCCCACCGCAGCTGCAGGTTGAAAACAGAAGTCACCCCCTGCACAGACCCTTTAGCGGCTTCCTGGGCCATTAAGGATGAAGATGTCTGTCCCTAACCCAGTGCAACATGGAGCCCGGCATGTGCTGGACCGGTCCTGCCTCCTGCCCTCAACCCCTCCATTCCCCTCTGTCACCACAGCCATGCGACCACCTGCAGACACCCCAGGCTTGCCGGCTGGCTGGGTGAATTCTCACAGCAGCCCTTTGAGGTGCTTGTTCTGTGCCAGGCACTGCCCTAAGTACTTTGTGTTTCCTGCTCATTTCGCCCTTAATGTGCATGAACCTCGTCCCCGCTCTCTTTGTCAGCCAGCTGAGGCGCAGGAAAGTCAGATGGCCTGGCATCGCCACCAGGAAGGGACAGACCTCGGATTGACGCCAGGCCATTGGCTGCAGAGTCTGCTTTTCAAGCCTGTGTGTTGTGCCCTGGTGCACGGGATGCAGACCAAGGCCTGAGAAGTAAGGTCCCTCAGGGCCCCACGGCCAGTTTGGACTCGAACTCTGGGCCCAGCAGCCTGCTCCCAGGCTGGTCTGCACTCGGCGTAGTGCTGCATGGGGGAGCGTGGCTCCTCCCGCTGGGCCTCCCGCGGCCCCGGAGCCCACAGGAGGGATGAGAAGGCCTCTGAAAGTACTCAGTTGACGGGAGAAGTGCTTTGAGGGCGGTAGGGACTTGGTGGGTTTGTGTCCTTCAGCTTCTGCTGGCTGGCTGTGTCATTGGGTACCTGCTTGCATCTCTTCCTCAGTCTCCTCGTTTATAGAACGGGGTGAGTAGCAGCGCCTACTTGGGAGGGTTGGGAGCAGACTCAGAGGTTATGGCACGTAAAGCACCCGCACAGCTTCTGGCCGCAGTGCGCTCTGCGAGCTGATGGTGTTCCCCTTGCTCTCTGGTGGGGGAGGCCTGCTCAAAACGGTGGCCGGGCCCAGAACTCCCAGTGGGCGCTTTCCTTCACTCCAAGCCTGGGCTCCACGGCGCTGTGTCCCTTATTCCCTGAGCCTTCCTGCGGGAGGGCCCTGCTTGATACCTTGGGCCTCATCTGGGAAGGAAGCTGTTACTGTCGGGGAACTGTGGCATGGTGCCAGAAGGAGCACAAGGGCCAGATGTGAGTCTCAGCTTTGTCACCTCCTGTGTCTGTGACCCCCACAAGTGACTCCACCTCTGTGTGCCTCTGTTTCCACATCAGAAATGCCCCCCTCTCTCCAGTGTTCTTGATGAGTGTGGAAGGAGCTGGTGTCTGTGGAGCCTTTATTTTTCTCATCATGTCTCTGGAGAAAGGAGGTTGGTCCCCCTGGGGGCTCCCTTTTGAGGGCTGGAAGGCACAGCAGTCCCAGCTCTGGGTGGGAGCTCCCCTCTGCCCCAGACACCATGTTGCAAACCCTTAAGGAGTACCCTGGACAGAGGCCCTTGCTTTTTCTCTGGAATTCTGTGCTGCAACCTTGTAATTTTGGTCCAGTTGGAACAGGATCGGGGGTTTGTCCGGCAGTGGGAGAGCCCCAGTCACCCCTGAACAACCTCCTCCACGTCTGCGGGTTCCTTGGCTCCCTGTGGTCCTGGGCAGCGTGAGCCAGGGTGGAGGGCATAGGTCCAGGCCTCACCCAGCGTTTTGAACACCTTCTTGGAGTCCGACGCTTCCCGTGGGCCATGCTCTGTATGCAGCGGCTCACCTGCGCCTCAGCGTCCCTGGTCTGCCGAGGATGGGTGAGCTTGCCCTGGGGGCAGAATTGCTGTTTGAGCCCCAGCCCGCGAGGCTCCGGAGCTCCTGCTCCTCATCACCAGCTCTGCAGCCCAGGGAGGCCCCTTGGAACTGCTTCCAGTGCTCCCGTGGTGTGGATGAACCATCGTTTATTTATCCAGGCTTCTGTCGATGGACTTTGTGTGTTCTCCCTTATAAACAGAGATGATAGATGATGGCACCCTCTGCGTCTTAGTCTGTAACTTGCTTTTCTCACGTGACAGTACCTCAGGATCTCTGTACATGAGATATATACGTATTTTGTTCTTTTTAACGTCTCAGGAGATTGGTGATTTTTTTCTTTTCTTTTCTTTCTTTTTTTTTTTAAGTAGGCTCTGTGCCCAGTTTGGAGCCCAATGCAGGGCTGAAGAGTCAGATGCTTAACGAACTGAGCTACCCAGGTGCCCTGGTGATTTTTTTTTTTTTTCTTTCTCAATCCTTGGTCTTCTACCTGAAGTCAGCATTTAAAAATTTCTAAGAGGACAATTATGATCTGGTAAAGCCTATCATGGGATGCGGCCACCCGTCCCCCGTTTTTGAAAAATAAAATGTGAATGTGGGGATAAGGATTTATATTATATTTTTCCCAAAGAGGTCATGGGTTAAAACAAGTTGAGAAATGGCAGCCTGGAGGCCCGTGCTCCTGAGCCTACATGTGTGTTGGGCCTTGGTGTGACGTGTCCGTGTGTGCACTGGGCCTCTGTGCACCACGTCTGGGGCCACTTGAACTTTGGCCTCCTTGCTCACTCGTTCCCCAGGCACCTCCTGAGTGCCCGCTCAGGTGCTGTGTGTACCAGGGACAGACAGACGAAATCCCTGAGCTCGTGGGCCTGACACACATGGGTTAGGGTTATGGGGCCCCCAGACTCTGCCCAGGGAGGGCCAGTGTGCCAGCACTTGATGTTGATGAGGGCGGTATTCACACATCTGTCTTAGGAAGCACGACCTCCTGGGAGCGAGGCTGGTGGTGCGCTGGGACGTGTGGGTTCAGCAAGCCATGGAGCTGAGCGAGAACGGCCCTCCCCGTTGGCTCTGGACGGTCATGGGCCTTCTGTGATTCCAGCTGCCAGACTAAGCACCCACTGTGTTTTTCTTGAATTGTGTTTTGTTTTGTTTTGTTTTTTTCAATCTGTGCCTTGGTTTCCCCATCTGTAATGTAAAAGTTGGTGGGGAGTGCTCTGGGAGTGTATGTGATGGGGGTCGATGGTGGAATTAGACTCCTCCTTGCCCCTGACTCCCAGTTCCCGTCCCTGGAGGCGGCTAGGGCCCCGTGTCATGCACGCCCTTCCAGAGGGGTCCGTGCTGCGGTGAGCACACGTGCCTGTGCGTACATTCCTCTTGCTTCTAACTCCAGGAGCAGGACACTCTGCCCTGTTCGGAACCTTCTTTTTTTCTCTTAAGTTGTCTCAGGCCCTCCCAAGTCTGCATCTAGAGCTCTTTTTTTTTTTAAGGTTTTATTTATCTATTTGATAGAGATAGTGAGCACAAGCTGGTGGGGGGTGGGGGGAGCCGCAGGGGGAGAGGGAGAAGCAGGCTTCCCACTGAGCAGGGAGCCCGATGCAGGACTTGATCCCAGGACCCTGGGATCATGACCTGAGCCGAAGGCAGAGGCTTCACTGACTGAGCCACCCAGGCACCCCCGCATCTAGATCTTCCTCCTTTCTCTGAGCTGAGGGGCGTTCCGTGCGTGGACTCCTCACACACATTCCCTGCTCCCCTCGGCGCCCGGGGAGCTCAGCACTGTGGCCACCCTTCAGGAAATGCAAGATGCTCTCCCCTGGAGGCACACCATTATTTTCCATAATACCAAGCAAAAGCAATGCCCAATTCAATTGAGATAGGCCACTGACTGTAAGGTGCCCCCGGATCCCAGCAGCGTCAGAACATGGGGAGATGTGCGCATGGGACCGCTGGGCTGTACGGAGTAGCTCTAGTACCCTCGGGACGTGAGGAGCTGGGGGCTGAGTGCAGCCGCCCCCAGGGTGGTCCCGGCTCCTCAGGCCCCTTGCTCCCTGCGTGACCTTGGCCAGGGGCCTCTGTGCCTCGGGGGAGAGCACAGTTTCACCTGTGCTGGGGCTGGGGGTGATTCTGGAAGAAGCGTGGCTGACCATCCGGTCTCACTGAGGCTGATCGGAATTGCTGCGATTTGGGAGGTTGCCCACTTGGGCTCTTAGAATTTTCTCGTTCTTAGGTGTGCATTTTATTTTTCTCAACTGTTCATGGGCCTGTTTTATAGCTCTAAGCAGAATCCAAAGAGGGTTCAGCATACACTGGGTCGAGCCACCTAAAATTGTGTGGTGAGTCAAACACGGGAGGGGTATGGAAAATTGAGTATCGTTCAGCCCCCTACTTTTTTTGTGGTCTCTGGTTGTGTTCACGTATTTCTACTAGATCTAGTTTCCCTTTCTAGAGACAGAACAGTTTGCAAGTATCAAAAGAAAGCTATTTCCGAGCAAGTTCTAAATTGTGAGTGACAGAAATAGTTTATTCTTAAACCAAGCTCCTTTTGGCTGGGACCTGCTTCCCTGTCTGCCACCTTCTGCTTCACGTCTCTGCCCCACTAGGAACCTCTGTCCCTGAGCTCTCCTGGCAGACAGCTCCCTCCGGTGATCTTCAGCTTTCTTCGGCTGATGAATTCTTCCTTTTACTTACTCTTGGTTTGCTTTTACAAAACATCACGCTTGTCATTTGTTCTGGAGGAATCCTGAGGAGCGCTGTGGCTCAGGGTGGTGGCTCATTTTCAGGGGGCTGTGAATAAAGGTGGTCTCCCCTCTTTGGTCATTTAATTGCTGCTCACTTCAAGCGTCCCTCAGGTCAGGCCACTCCAGGACATAGATAGACTCTGTCCTAATTCCACTCTTGTCCTCTCTTACCCACTGCAGCCAGAGGATTTGTAAAATGTCAGTCCTGTCCCGTCTGCTCCCCCCAGTCGGACAGATCTTGCCAGAATGCCCAAAGATGTTGGGTCATTTGCTCCCATTAGAGGGGGTGGGGCTCCGTCCTTCCCGCCGAGAGTCCGTGGGACTCATGGCTCTTGTGACCTGTCCCTCAAAGGGAGGAGTGGATGCGGGCCATTCAGATGGTCGCCAACAGCCTCAAGCAGCGGGGCCCAGGTGAGGACCCCATGGACTATAAGTGTGGCTCCCCCAGCGACCCTTCTGCGGCTGAGGAGATGGAAGTGGCAGTTAGCAAGGCTCGGGCCAAGGTGGTAAGTACTGGGGGGCAGGCGGCCAGTCTGGGAGCACCCCTCTCCCCACCAACACTGGCCCTGCCGCCCTCGGTTTCCATACAGAGCGCACAGGGGAGCAGCCGGGACCCTTTGCGACTGCCCTGTGGGATGGGTGATGTATGGGTGTAGGTGCCCCAGGGCTGCTCTTTGCCCCTGGAGTGAGGGGCAGCTGCATCCTCAGAGCTCGTGAAGACCTGTCTACCCCCATATCCCAGCCTCCCGGGGCCCCCTGCCTGGGGGAGCCCTGGTCTGAAGGCCGCTTCAGAGCAAACAGTTGCCGCCCAGAGCCTCCCTTCCTGCTCATGCCCAAGCGTTTTGGCAACAGTGGCCTTTGATTTTTCCTTTCTCTTTGTTAAAATGTCCTCCCGTGGGCCACGTGCCAAGCACTGACTTCCCCAATCTCTCCCCCTCCTCGGCAGACCATGAATGACTTCGACTATCTTAAACTCCTGGGCAAGGGCACCTTTGGCAAAGTGATTCTGGTGCGGGAGAAGGCCAGCGGCCGCTACTATGCCATGAAGATCCTGCGGAAGGAAGTAATCATCGCCAAGGTGGGCGTGCCCGGGGCTGCAGCGGCCTCTGTGGTCGTGGTGGGACTGCGCTCGCCCCAGCCCACCCCACCCTCCGGGCGACCAGGGGACTAGGGTGGAGCCTCCGACTCGGTCTCACCCAGCAGGCGTTATCAGGGCGTTATCAGGGCCTCAAAGCAGGTCGCTTGCGGCAGCAGAATGGGCTGGTGGGGAGGCCCTAGGAGTGGGGCTCGGCTCAGGGCCTCTCCATAGGAGGCTGGGCCAGAATGGAATTCTCTTCCCTTTTTTTTCCCCCACCTTTCAAGTTTTTAAAAGGGAGAATTCCTGACATACACAAAGTATTTAAAAGAAAAATAAATACAGTGGACTCCCATGTAGCCAATATCTAGCTTCAACGGTTGTCAACATTTGGCCCATCTTGTTTCATTAGCTCTGCCCTCCCCTTTGTTCTGGAGTATCTTAAGGCATGTTCTAGACACCATATAATTTCACCCATATATACTTTTAAAAAAGATTTTATTTGAGAGCGTGAGCAAGAGAGCAAACAAGCAGGGGCAGAGGGAGAGGGAGAAGCAGACTCCCCACTGAGCAGGGTGCCCGATGTGGGGCTTGATCCCAGCATCCTAGGATCATGTCCTGAGCTGAAGACAGATGCTTAACTGAGCCACCCAGGCGCCCTACACCCATATATACTTAGATATGTACCTTTAACAGCTGAAGATTTTAAAGACTATGATGGTACTAAGATCTCATCCAGCAAAACTAACAGTCGCTTATGTGACTGGTCCGAGGCAGGCTTCCTCAGCCTCAGCACTGTCGGCTTTTGGGGCCAGATCATTCTCCACAATGGGGCCGCCCTGTGCACTGTACAATGAGTAACTGCACCCTGGCCTCCCCCCCCCCCCCCCCCCCCCCCCCGGAGGCCAGTAGCACAAAGTTGTGACCATCGAAAATGTCTTCAGACATTATCAAGTGTCCCCTGGGGACAGACTCAGCCCCGGGAAGAGCCAGTGTCCCTTACTGCAAGTGGTGCGGGATTTTCCGCAGCTCTCTTAGGGGCCTGTTGTGTGTTCAGATATCACACTTGAGCCCGTGTTCAAGGGGCCTGGAGGGCCTGTGAAGCCCATGTTGGGCCCACCCCTATGTTTCTGATTCGGTGGGTCTCGGAGGGGCCTGGGAATCTGCATTTACCCAAGTTCCTAGGCAACATGATGCTGCCAGTGTGGGGACCACACACTGGGAACCGCTGTTCCCAAGCGTAGGGTCCTGATCAGATCCCTTCCTTGTCTCCGCAACAGCACTTCCGGTGGTGATTCCCCCTGCCTCTGGGGTCAGCTCCAGGGTCTTACAATGTCTGCTTCTCCCTCCTTAGATGCTAAACTTGGCCTGTGGGTTCTGCAGGTGACATCTCGAGCCCTCTGTCATAAAGTCCCCATCGACTTCTCACCTTGTGGCTTTGAGAGTGAGCCACTGATTGGCCTTGTCTGGGATGATTCATTCATTCATTCTTTTTTTAAAGATGTATGTATGTATTTGAGAGAGAAAGCACGAATGGGGGGAGGAGCAGAGGGAGAGAATCTGCAAGCAGACTCCCCACTGAGCACAGAGCCCCACACAGGGCTTGATCTCACAACCCATGAGATCATGAAACCAAGTGTCAGTCACTTAACCCACTGAGCCACCCAGGCCACCCCTGGAACCGTTACTTCATTCCAGCTTGCAGATGGTACCGTGCCACTCCTGCCTTTCTCTCTGGATCGGCTAGGAATAGAAGTGCATTTCCCTGAAGCATTGCTCCCCCATTCCTTAGGTGGGGGCGGGGGCAGGTGTGGTGTTGCCCGCCAGCCCCTCACCCAGCCTTTGTCTGCAGGATGAAGTCGCCCACACGGTCACCGAGAGCCGGGTCCTCCAGAACACCAGGCACCCGTTCCTCACCGTGAGTGGTACTTCCCTCTCAGGCAGGGCCTGGCCTTCCTGTGCCCTGTGCTCCATGAGAGGCCTGCTTCAGGCGGGCCTCAGGAATAAGAGCCCAGTCCTGCCACCATGAAGCATGGACTTCGTGTCGGCCAGGTGGCCAGGGCCAGACCACATGGCCTGAACCAAACCCAGGGGGTGGCAGCTTCTTCACAGATGGTGGCTTCATGGCAGTGCTTCAGCTGACTGATGATACCACATTACAAGATGGCTCCAGGAGAGCATGGCTACTCTTCATGAGTTAGAGGCGTTTAGCCCTGCCGGTCAAAGTGGGAACGTTTTGTTTCTGTTTTTAAGTGTAATCCTAGAAGGAGATGTATATTTGTGCTGCCTGTCAGCTTAGTCTGGGGAGACACCTCTTTGGGCCACAGTCTCCATCAAGACCAGCAGCCATCAGTTAAATAGACCGGCTGGAGGATGGCTTATGAGATGGGTCGTTTCCTTAGCTCAGTGTCTGTCCAGGTGTATTAAGCCATGGCACTTGTTCAAATGAAATTCTGTGAGGTACTTTGATGTGGAAGACAGAGAATAGTAGACTTGTCATGAGCAGAGGGGTCACTCGGGTTCTCTGAGGAACTTTCTGTAGGGCTCCTTAGAGCATAGTTTGAGAACTGCTGTTTATTGCAGCAGATCACTTGTGCATCCTGTCTTTGGGGTTGCCAACTCCCAGCCAGCAAACGTGTGTGCGCATGTGCGTGCAACAAGCCTGACTGGAGAGGAAAGGTAAAACAGCTCTGGTGGCTCAGAACTGAATGTCTCCCTGGCCGAGCCTCTCAGAAGCTTAGCTGAAGGCTGAAGACCGCATCCTTCAGCCCAGTAGCCCTTTCACTGCTCTCAGGGCCACAAGCTCACTCACGTACCCCAAAAGGCAAAGCTGAAGTTGGAGCCCCGGCTGCCAGGGTGGGGGGGGTACCTGCAGAATCAGCAGAGAGCTTGCCTTCTTCCCACCTCCCATCTTGGCCACCTTCCTGCCCCACAGGCACTGAAGTACGCCTTCCAGACCCACGACCGCCTGTGCTTCGTGATGGAGTATGCCAACGGGGGTGAGGTGAGCCTCAGCTCCCCAGCCAGGGCTCTCATGTCTCCTTCCCAAGCGTCAGGGGAGCAGAGGGGAACTGTGGGTGAGACGAAGGGGGTGGTGGGGGCCTTGCTGGATGTCACCTCGTGTGCCCCCCCCCCCCTTTGAGGCAGGCATCATCACCTTCATTTTGCAGGCGAGGAGACTGAGGCTCAGAGAGGTTAAGTGGCTTGCCCAAGTTCACCCAGCTAGTGAGTCGGGTAGGATGCACACGCAGGCGCTGAGAGGTGTGGAGGGCTAGGGAGAGTGTCCTGTGAGGCTGCAAGGAAAATGTATGGGGAGGGGGGCGGGCAGGCTGGTTGGTGCTCTGCTCTCCCCAAGCTCTCCTCCTGGGAGGAATCCGCCGCTCGTCACTGGGCTGCGCCAGCTCAGGCTGTCACCTGCTCCTCATCCCTCACAGCCTCCTCTCTGCACACAGGGGTCACCCACTGGCTCCAGATTGTTGGCTTCATCTCTCCCATTGGTCTCACGGCTTATTGTCACTTGCTCGTGACTTGTGTTCTGTGCATTCTTGCTGTCACTCCCTCGTTCCTCTGTCCCCTCACACTGTCCCTCCTTACTCTCCCCTTGACGCCTCCTGACTGTCCTTCACTCTGTGTTTTCCTCACGGGGAGTCCGTCCCTGCTCACCACCTCTCACTTGGTTCTTCCCGCTGTCACTTGCAGGTTCCTGGAGTAGGTGTCACCGCGTCACTGGGCTGGGTGTTGGGGGCCAGTGGGCAGGGTCCTGTGTTTTGCTCCTCTGGGCTGAGGTCTGACCTCCTGCCCCTCCCTCCTCTCGCAGCTGTTTTTCCACCTGTCCCGGGAGCGTGTCTTCACGGAGGAGCGGGCTCGATTCTACGGCGCAGAGATCGTCTCTGCCCTCGAGTATTTGCACTCGCGGGACGTGGTGTACCGTGACATCAAGGTGAGCGTGTGCTTGCCTCCTTGCCCCGGGGCCGCAGGGCTCACACCAGGGAAGCCGGACATAGGCCCTCAACTCCGGACCTCCCCCTCCCAGGAGGGTCTACCCTATGGGTGTTCCTGAGTCCACCTTGCTGTAGGATGCCAACCTTCCTGCCTAAGCTGCCCTGCGGGCCTTTCCGAGCCTCTGGTGAACACACACCTCTGTGCAGGGAGTCGGCGGGGTTAGGGGGGTGGTCATATCGGTCCAAGCACCGTAGGAGATAGTTGGGCAGAATCTACTGGAGCTGACTGTCCGTGTGCCCTGTGAGCCAGCCATTCCGCCCTAGGTTTATGCACGGCCAGGGCAGGGCCCTGTGTCCCCCTCAGAGCCTGGGCACACACACACTCCCGGAACACTGTCCACACTAGCCCCAGGCTGGAAGCAGCCCCAGGGCCCGCTGTCCAAGCCCGGCCAGAATGCACTGCAGGGCCTTCGGCCAGGCTCTGTGCAGCCCTTAGTGAGTGAACCCCTGTGGCCGTGCGCATGCGCCGCCCAGGCTCACGTGGAAGGGAATCCGGGATGGACCGCATGCGGCTGTGTTTTTATAGGGGGCATCCTTAGGTGGGGGAACTGTAAAGAAAAGCGGAGGAGCAGAGGTTTTCCTTAGCTGGAGGGATGGTTAGTAACAGGGAAGGGGCACATGGGGGGTTTTGGGGGTCTGGGAATGGTCTCACCTGGTGGAGCTTCCACAAAGGCCCATTCAAATTGCCCATTTGTGTTTAGTTAAAAGTAGAGGAAGAAGGGCGCCTGGCTGGCTCAGTGGCCAGAGCATGCAACTCCCCATCTCAGAGTTGGGAGTTCAAGCCCCACAGTGGGCCCAGAGCTTACTTTAAAAAAAAAAAAAAAAAAAAAATGGAGGAAGAAAGCTAGTGTTGCTCACATGCCAGATTGGGAAGCTGCAGCCCACAGTGGGGCAGCAGGTGGGCAGGGCCTGTCTCCCATCTCTCCTACCCCAGCTTTTTTCTAGCTGCCCTGGGGGTTGGCCTCCCTCTGAGCCTCAAGGGCTTAACCTTGTGCTGGGGGTGTGTGCCCAGCTCAACCTGAAGGCCCTGGCATGACCGCTATCACCCCAGGCCAGAGCCCTCCCAGGGAATGGCTGGGGCACGTGGGGTTCAGGGGGCAGGAGGGTGGCTGGTGGAAAGCTTTGGGAGGATATGACCCCGATACATGGACTTTTCCTACAGCTGGAGAACCTCATGCTGGACAAAGATGGCCACATCAAGATCACTGACTTCGGCCTCTGCAAAGAGGGCATTAGTGACGGGGCCACCATGAAAACCTTCTGTGGGACGCCCGAGTACCTGGCCCCCGAGGTGCCTGCGGCTGGAGGTCCCCGGGCCGCGAGGCCAAGGGAGGAGGGGCCCTCAGACCTGTGTGGTGTCCCTAGCTCAGACCCCTTGGATGGCCCTCCTTGGGTCCCTTTGAGCCCCATGGCCCCGGCGGTGGGGGGGCCTGGGCCCGGCCCCTCACTGCTCCTCCCCGCTCAGGTGCTGGAGGACAACGACTACGGCCGCGCGGTGGACTGGTGGGGGCTGGGCGTGGTCATGTACGAGATGATGTGCGGCCGCCTGCCTTTCTACAACCAGGACCACGAGCGCCTCTTCGAGCTCATCCTCATGGAGGAGATCCGCTTCCCGCGCACGCTCAGCCCCGAGGCCAAGTCCCTGCTTGCTGGGCTGCTTAAGAAGGACCCCAAGCAGAGGTGAGGGCTGGAGTCTGTCCTGCCCAGCCCAGTGCCTTCTGCTGCGGCTGTCCCCTCGGCCTGGAGGGGCTGAGTGCACAGGCGCGTGCCTGCGTATTGTCCCTCCAGCACTTGGCAGTCATCCCTGCCACGGGCGCCTAGGGAGAACTCTCTTGGGGCCGGGCTTGTCCTTAGCGCTCTGCCCACTTGTTCTTTGGGAACACTGAGAGGGCAGCCCCGAGCCTGGCTGAGGGTGGCTGAGCCTGCCCTCTCGGCTCGTGTTCTGGACTCAGAGTCCAGGTTGCAAGATCCCTAGCTTCTGACCCTGGGCCTGTGAGCCCTCCCTCCCTGAGCCGCGGTTTCCTCCTCTTCGAAGTGGTCTGTGGTCGGGCCAGAATCACTAAAGGTTGTGCAGGGCCTGCGCTGAAAGCCTGTTGCTCAGAACCCGCTGGCCTGGGAGGCGGGTGCTCATGGCCTTCTCTGCCCAGGCTCGGCGGGGGGCCCAGCGATGCCAGGGAGGTCATGGAACACAGGTTCTTCCTCAGCGTCAGCTGGCAGGACGTGGTACAGAAGAAGGTGAGCCCCGCCACCCACCTGCTCCTGCAGGAGCCCCGTTGCTCAAGGGTGACCTTGGCCAGCTCCCCTGTTCCCAGGGTCCTGAGTCTGGGCTCCTTTCCTCCGCAGCTTCTGCCACCCTTCAAACCTCAGGTCACCTCTGAGGTTGACACAAGGTACTTTGATGATGAGTTTACCGCCCAGTCCATCACAATCACGCCCCCGGACCGCTGTGAGTGTTTGGCCCTCCCTCGGGGGGCCCTGGCTGGGTGTGGAGGGGTGGGGTCTGCCCTTGACCCAGTTCCGGAGAGTAAGCTCATGGGCCCCCTCCCCGAGTCTGGGCAGTTTGCCTGCAGTTTGCCTGCAGTTTGCTTGCAGGGCTTTTTGCCTTTGGGCGGTGCACCTTTGGACCCAGTGAAGGTCACTGGGAGCCATTGGCCACAGCACATTCCAGAGCTCAGCGGGGAGAGGTCTGTCTGGGCAGGAGGCACATGGGAAGCTGTCAGTGCCACGATGGCACATTCGTAGCTGTCTTTGGGGCTGGAGTGGTGCATTGATTCTGCACCTGTTAGAGTTCTTGCTCTCACTCACCCATTGATGGGGATACAGCAGTGACTGAGACAACCTTGGCCCTGCCTTAAGGGAGCTTCAGGCCAGGTGGGGTGACAGCCCAGAGTGGTTAGGTCTAGGGTGTAGAAGCCCAGGGACTGGGGAGACCCAGAGGAAATGCCTGACCTGGCCTGTGAGTCAGGGTGGGTGGCTTCCTGGAGCAGGAGACATGGCAGCTGAGCAGAAGGAATGGCATGTGGGAATAGAGCCCAGGAGTAGGAGTGTTGCAGAGGCTGGAGTAGTCGGGGGGAGAAAGGGGTTCAGGGCCGGAGCAAGAGGATCTTGGGGGCCTCTGGAAGGAGCAGGGACTTACTGTGTGGGGAGCTGGGAAAGGTTTGGTGCAGGAGGGGGCAGGGATGCACCTGGGCAGCTGGAGGCTGGATTGGTGGGGCAGCAGTGGCCCCCAAGGTAGGGGACAGGGCGAGGCCTGGGCTGGACCAGAGTGTGGCGTGAGAGGGGGGAGCGGAGTTGGCGGAGGGGGCAGCCTTTGGGCCCAGACTCTGGTCGGGGGTGGGCCAATGTCAGCGGGAGTCTCTAAGTCTTCTCTGCCCCGTCCCCACGGGTGGCCCGTCGGCTGGGGGTTCATGCTCCCTGCATTCCTTCCTGAGCCCGGGTCCCCTTCCCCTTGCCCACTCCCGGGAGGGCACTCGGGGTGCTGGGCCCTCTGCAGGCCCGTTCTCCCCAATCCACCTCCACCCGCCCCCCACAGATGACAGCCTGGGCTCCCTCGAACTGGACCAGCGGACCCACTTCCCCCAGTTCTCCTACTCGGCCAGCATCCGCGAGTGAGCAGTGCCGCCGCCGCCGCCGGACGCCCACACCCACGCCCGCTCGGCTGCAGTCACCGCCCTGGGGGCCTGTCTCTTTGTTCTTAGACTTTATATTTTGCCTTTTTTTGTTTGCATCCCCATCCCTCACCTGCTCACCCCATTTCCAGTTTTTTCTTCAGCCCTCTGCCAAACTCACCTCAGCGGTCCCAGCAGCACTGCCTCCAGGATCCTGTCCTGTCCTCACCTTTGTGCCCAGACCTGGATTTGGGAGACTCTCCACTGCCCGCCCCAGGACCAAGCCTTCGGGCGGTTGGAGAGGTTCCGGTTTTCAATCAACATAAGCCCCAGCGAGGGGCGGCGCGTGGAGCTGCGGGCCCCACCCGGGTCTCTGGCCGGGCGCCTGCCCCTGCGCCACTGCCTTCTCGTGGGACACCTTGTGGGACACGACGCCCGGCGGACAGTGCCCTGGTGGTCGGGCTCAGGGCGGCCTGGCGTGGGCTGTCCGGCCCGGCCCCTCCCCCACAGGGGCAGAAAAGCAATAATGTCCAGGGAGAGGCAGGGGGCCTTTGGAAGCCCCAGGGTTGGGGGTTCGGGGATCCCTCGTGTAGATGGGGCGTGATCTGCCCCATGGGGCATGAGGGGGGCCCAGGTGATGGGCACTGCCTCCTTGCCCTGCCTTCCTCAGCAATCCCCAGCTGCTCTCCTGACCCTGTGGATGAGGAAGGAGGAACATTTGGGGATGGGCCTCCCTGCTGCCCCATCCTGTGCCTTACCAGGGCTTGCTTCCGGTCGGCCTTCACTCCTGCTGGGCCCGGGGCTGGCCCCAGCCCTTGCCAAGGATGGGGGCAGGGGGCTGCCAGCTCTGCTGTTACACATCTCGCACCGAGACAGTGTTGGGCCCCGTGGACTGGGGTCGAAGAGGGGATGGGAGTTGGGGGGGGCGGCCTCTGAGCAAGGGAGGCTCCAGGGCCCTCTCCTCCCTCCCCCCTCCCTGGGCCCCACGTTTTGCAGCCTTAAGGTGAATGTGTGTCAGTGCTGTGGGCACGTGTGTGCGGCCTCAGGCTGTTGTGTTTGTGGATGGCCCCTTGCCTCTGGGATGAGGATGCACACGGGTTGGGGTGTGTGTGCATGCGTGTTGGGTGTGTGTGTGTGTGAGGGCAAGCGTGTCCGGGCCTTGAATGCGTGGTGTGTGTGGGCTTGGGCCCTGTCCCCGGCCCGAGCATTTCATCCCGTAGGGGAGGGGTGCTGGCCTGGTGGGGGAGCCACACCTGGGGTCCATTTGCTGCCCAGCCCCCCTCCCCCCCCGCCCTTGCCCCCAGCATCTCTGGGTGTGTGGAATTTAGTTGTGGCTTTGATCTCCCTGCCCCACCTCCTGTACTGGGTAGTTCAGAGAGAGACATCCTAGGGTGGGATGCAGGGTTGGTTTGGGTGGGTGGGGGGTCTTTTTCTTTGTGTGTATGTCATTTATTTGACAATTCTCTATCCTCCTTACTGGACTTCCCCATTCCTCCCATTTGTACGGTACAAGCAATAAAGACACTCGTTTCAGACGGGGGCCCGCTGCCCTGGGCCATTCCTTGCCTCCGGAGCCTGGCCCTGCGGACGCCCGGGACGTGTCCGCTGTGGCAGGACCTGGGCACCTGGAGCCGCGCTCGCCCTCTGGCCGTTGGGGTGGGCACCCCTGTGGGTGGAAGCTGCTGAGGGGTTTGGGAAGCTTCCTGGGGTGTGCGGATACGGCGGGCAGAGACCATGCCAGGTCTTTGGAAGCTGCCCAGGTGAAAAGGGGGGGGGAGGACAAAGGTGGGGTAGTCGGGTGGGTGGCTCTGAACAAGGAGGGCGTGCGAGGCGTCACTGAGCCCTGGAAGTGAGCGCGAGGGAGTGGGTTCAGTGCGTGGGGCCCTTGGGCCCTAGAGCTGGGCATTGCCTACATGTTGTCTTCTCCCTACTTAGGCTAAACCAAGGAGCCTTGAGGCCCCCAAATTCCAACACAGTCCGTGGTGTATGAATGGGAATCGTGGTGGCTGTCAGCTGGGGGCAGCTCTGGTTACAGCCCTCACAGCTCTGGGGTCCTCTGATGGCCCCCCCCTTTAGCCTGGGGTTCCTGTGCTTGACTCACTCTGCCCACACCTGGGGACCAGGGTGGCCCCCACACAGGTGAATTGAATGTCAGACTTTGCCAGAAGGCGGTAGGGCTTCTTCACATGCATGGAGTCTCAGAGATCTTGAGTGAGGGTAGCAGAAAAGTCAGATTCGGTGCATAGGAATCTGCATTTGCTGCAGCTAAGACCCAAGGAATGCGTGGCTTTTTCTCACTTCATGTGGACTTTATTTAATTACAAGAGTATGTCCTGGCGGTCATAAGACAAGCAGCAGAGAAGCTTCTAGAAAAAAGCTGCCTAGTTTTCCCTCCAGTTGAGGCCCCTGAGGAGGCCGGGGCCCGTTCGTTTTCGCGTCACCCCTTGCTCTCCTGCGGGGGTTATCCTGAGCTTACCTCAGTCCGCTGGGTCACCTCGCGGCCCCCGGGTCCCCGGGTCCCCAGTGCGGGGCCCACAGGCTGATGAACCGCTTCCCTCAGGCAAAGATAGCTCCCTCGCTATAGTGGTGCTTCCTTCTGTAGTAGTTTTCCCAAAGGGCCTTTCAGCTGGGGAGCATTTTAATAAAATTTCACCAATTGGAAACCTTTAGTTTTGAGTGGGTTAATCTGTCTTTTGTCATGTGCTTGTGGGAAATTTCTCGTGGTGTGTGTGTGTGAGAAGAACGTGAGCAACACCAAAGTCTGAGGAAGCAAGTAAAATGAAAATGAGCCTGGATCCCAGCTCCTGAGTGCTCATCCTGGTGCTCGCTCGTTTCTTTGCAGATGCACAGGGCACCAGATAAAGGTTCTTTACCTTCGGTTTGGTTTGGTTTTTGCGTGGCTTGCCTCCCAGCTGTGGCCTACATTCTAGGGTGGCTGGAATTTAATACGTGTCCGATAGCTTTCCAGAGTGTGCGGATTCACAGATTTTTACCTTTATCTTTTAAATAATTGCAGGTGCAGGCTTGGAGAAGAGAACTTCCAAAGAATAGTACTAAACACAGTTCTAGGCCTGGAGCACCTTGTAGTGCCCTGAAGGAAGGACCCGCTCAAAAGCGGGCTAAGCAGATCGTCCCCGATGGGGGGTACGTGAAGGGACCTGGGGGCCCGTGGAAAGTACCCCGCTGGGCTGAGAGTACTTGGAGGAGCAAAAGAAATAGCATAGCGCCGGCTTCTACCCAAAGTTCACGATCAGGGAGTTCGCGAGCAGATAAATGATAAATGGCTGGAACAGACGTAACTGAACGGACTTCCAGGTAATTTCTGTAGATGCTGCGCCCCCAAGGTGGGGGAGCATCTCCCTCATTCCTTGCGTGTGGGCTGCAAAGTGACTTCCAAAGAGGACAGTATAGAAAGGGGGGAAGCAACTTTTCCATGAAAAAAACCTGATAAACGTTACATCAGCCAGTGATCAAGGTCAACATCAACCCTGTAACTCCTGTTGGCAGGAAGTGCCCTCGATAGGCGATGAGGGTGCTATCCCAGTTGGTCCATGCTTGTGACAAATGCACTACACTAGGAGGTTGGTAGGGGAAAGTAGGTGTGGGGTGTCCGGGAACTCTGTTCTCTCTTTGCAGCTTCCCATAAACCCTACTTTAAAATTTGATTTTTAAAGGAAGTACAAAGCATTCTCATTGACCCTTCACACAGGTTCCTGTGACCATTTTCTGCTCACTCCCTCCTCCCCCTCCGTGTTTACATATCCGCCCTGAAGCGAGAACATTCTCTTGCACAACCACAGTTCAATTAACCAGGTCGGGAACTGAATACTGAAAACAACCCTCTTCTCTCAGGTCTTTATCAAATTTGACTAATGGTCCCACTCCTGTCCTTGTACACAGAAGGACAGTCCCCTGGCTGATGACTCCTGTTACATTCGGTTGTCAGGTTTGATACAGGGCAGTTATGTCACAGAACGTCCCTCATTTACGGCTTGTGGCCTGGTGTTTCCTCACAGTTATAGTCAAGCTACCTTTAACAGAAAATTTGAGAAATGTGCCCTTCTCCCTGCATCCTCAAAGAGGGAGAGGAGATTCTGTCCCATGACTGGTGATGACTTTGATCCCTTGCTTAAGGTGTCTTGTCAGGTGTCTCCACTGGAAAGTTCCTACTTTCCCTTTGTAGTTAGTATCTTGTGTAGAGATACTCTGAAAATGTAGATATCTAGGTTTTGATCAAGTGTTCAGGCAAAGGGAAGGGCAAGCACAAAGGCCCTGAGGCCAGCAGGTGCTGGATGTGTTTGGGGAACATAAAGAGGGTGTGTCAAATAGAACGAGGGAGTGGGAGAACAGAAGGAAATGGGATTAGAGAGGTAACAATGGGCTGAAGGGACCATGTGGCCAAGGTAAGGAGTTTGGGTGTTACTGTGTGACAGGAAGTCGTTGGTTCAGCATCTCACATTCCTCTGCTCACTTTTCCAGCCTTGCTGACCTCCCAGTGCCTGAAAATAGCAACCCCTTTCCTACCTCGGTGCTTTTGCTCATGCTATTTCCACCACTTGGAATATTCTCCCTTCCCTTTGCATTCCTGGCTCCTTGCCTTTCAGGTTTCACTCGAACATCACTTCCTCAGAGAGGCCCTCCAGGTCACCATTTCTAAGTTATGTGCAGCCTGTTCACTTACTCATCCAAGAAATATCTGAGTACCTGCCACGTGCCAAACTCCGTTCTAGGCACTGGGAATACAGCAATTAAAACAAAACACCAGACAAGCCTTGCCTTTCTGGAGTTCACATTCTCATTGGGAGGGAAGCAGTAAATAAGATCAGGCAGTAAGTGCTAAGGAGAGTGTAAGTTACAAAGAGTGGTGATAGGAAATTCTCAGGATAGCCTTTTTCACAGGGAAGGTATCGTCTGAGTAAATACCTTAAATAAGGGATCTCTGAGGGAGGAGCATTTCAGGCAAAGCAAACAGCCAGTGCAAAGGCCCCGAGGTAGGAGCGTGCCTGGTGTGGGTGAGAATGAGCCAGGAGACTGGTGGTAGGAGAGACACGAGTTGGGGGAGGGTTGGGAGATGAACTCAAAGGTGTGTGGGGATGGGTGGGAGGATCAAAAAGGACCTCGTGGACTTTGAGAGAGATGGAGCCACGATGGAGTTCTGAAGAGGCAGAGTGCGATCTGACTTGGGTGTGCACAGGATTCCTCTGGCTGCGTGGGGGCGGTGGGGGGGGTAGACTGTGGGGTATGGAAACCAGGGAGCAGTGAGGAGTTCACTGAGCTAGTCCAGACCCATCGCTGGCCACTTGTCTTAGTAGTTTTGAAAAAGTCCTTACTTTACAGCTGAGGAAAGGGAGCCTCGGAGGGGCTGTTTCTGATCCCATAGTAAGTAGCAGGAAGAGGATTTGACTCCAGCTGCCTGACCTTAGCTTTGGAGGAGCCAGAGCCAATCTGCATAGTATTCGCCATCACCTCTGCACCTGCCTAGGTGAGCCGTGTTCAGCGCGCATGCAATTTAAAGCGCCGAGGCGGGTCTTTCGCTCCAGCAGGAAGAGGGGTGCTTGGCTTGGTCCCCGGACGCCAGCGTGGAGGATGCTGGTGAGATGCAGCAGCCAGGGTCTCGCCTCCTGGCCCGGGTCCCTCTCCAGGTGCTGACCCCCACCCCTCTCCCTTGCAGAGTCCCGCCGCCGCCTCCCCCAACCCTCCCAGCGCCCCACACCCCGACAGCATCCCCCAGGGCAGCCAGGAGAGGCCCCCTGGGCCGTGCGCGCCGCCGGGGCTGGCGGAGGCGCTGAGCGCGCTGGGGCTGGAGGGAGAACGCGAGTACGCTGGGGACATCTTCGCCGAAGTCATGGTGAGCGCGCCCCGGAGGGCAGCAGAGGGGTTCGGGTTAGACGAGGTAAAAGCTGGCGGCTGGCCCAACACCCACCCCGCAAGGCTTCCCAAACTCACACCTCCCTGCAGCCCCTCCTACTTGTCCCTCGCATGTATTCGTTCACAAACACTTAGCAATTTATGAACATGTTTTTGAGCATATTCTAGGCCCTGGGGGTGCTGTGATGAACAACATAGTCTGCGCTCGTTGTGGACAACCAAGCAAACGTAGGCGGTAACAGCAGAAGGGAGACTGCAGTGCAGACACGGTCATCTGCAGATACCTTTGCAGGCCAGGCACTGTCCGAAGAAATACTGCAGGCATGAAGTTGTTCAGAAAGTGAGGTGGGGAGTGTCTCTCCCCAGCCAGGGACTCTGTTAGGAACTGAGAGACAGCTGTGATCCAGAGAGAGATACCTGCCCTTGTGGTACCAGCAGCCTAGGGAGGCAAACAACACACAAGGGAACACCAGACATCTCCAGACTGAAAATGCTAAGAGGACCATAAAGTGCTGACACAAAGCGGGATGGGTGCAGGGAGAATTCTGTATAGGAAAAGTCCAGGGAATTTGAGCTGTTGCTCAATAGTGCAAGGAGCTGGGGAAGGACCATTCCAGGTGGAGGGAACTGAGTGCAAGGAGCTGGGGAAGGACCATTCCAGGTGGAGGGAACTGAGCATAAGTGCAAAGACCCTGGGGTAGGAACAAGCCTGTCCTAGTCTAGGGCTAGAGAAGGCTGGTGTAGCTGGAGTATGGGTTGTGAAGGGAGAGAGGGAAGAGGTGGTGTTGGCTCAGGGGGCAGCGCCTGAGAGAGCAATTAGGGTTTTCTCCTGAGGGTACTGGAAGCCGTGGAAGGGTTTTAAGCTGGGGAGTTCCTTGGCCAGTTTTGTTATTTAGAAAGACCCTTCTGGCTGCTCTGAGGAGGATGGGCTGAGGCTTGGTGTCGGCTAGTGGTCTGGAGACCCAGGGGGAGATGCTCAGGAGGAGCCGTGGCCATGGGGCTACAGATTGGAGAGGTGGATTAGGGAGGCGTGCAGAACAAAGTCCAAGGCTCTAATGGGGGATAAGGAATAGAAACACATTTGGAAGAAGACGTTGGAGGCCAATTTCAGTGAGGCGCTCACGCTTCGGCCAGTTGGTGCAAGGAGGCTGCTGCACTGGGGGCTGGAGCTCAGGCGAGAAGCCGAGGCACAGGTGGAGAGAGTGAGGGCGTTCCTGCCCAACCGCAGGTGTGCCGCGCGCTGCCCCGGAGGGCCCTGCCCCCGACCGTGACGCCAGAGATGCGCGCGCTAGTGGTGGACTGGCTGATCCAGGTGCACGTACGTATCCGGCAGGGGGCAGGGCTGAGCCCGCGTCGCGGCCTAGAACCCTGGTGGTCACTCACGCCCCTCCCCAGGAGTACCTGGGCCTGGCGGGGGACACGCTCTACCTGGCGGTGCACCTGCTGGATTCGTACCTGCGCGCCGGCCGAGTGCGCCTACACCGCCTGCAGCTGCTGGGCGTGGCCTGCCTGTTCGTGGCCTGCAAAATGGAAGAGTGCGTGCTTCCCGAGGTACTTTCTGGAGTGGGGCTTGGGAAGGTGGAACCCTCGCTCGTTGCGTCACAGATGGGAACACCTCCTGTGTGCCGAGCTAGCGCTTTATCTATTCTTGGAATCCCAGCATATCTGTATGAGGCCTGATACAATGTGTCCCTTTAGCAGAGGAGGAGACTGAGGCCCGGAGAGAGGAATACTTTGCCCCAAACAGGTGGGACTTGGACTCAGTTTTGAACAGTTATAGTGAGTGCCTGATCAGAACTCCGTGCCTTATCAGAGCTGCCAGGTGACGTACGGAGAAATACTTCCGTTTTATAGACGAGAAAACTCGGTCTCAGTTTCAATGATGTCCATGTCACACAGTGTGAAAATGGTAGGGTTTCAAGTCGAACCCAGGTCTTTCTGATTCTGAAGCCTGTGCTCTCCATGGCTTCCAGAGAACAAATCAATAGACCCATCTTACAGACCAGGAAATCGGGGTTCAGAACGGAGACTGAACCGATCCCAGGCGCTACAGGGCAGGGAGCAACCAGCCGGGGCCGAAGACTCCCACCTCTTTCCCCGCCATCCGCAGTCGGCCTCCCTCTGCCTCCTGGGCGCTGGCTCCTTCTCGCGGGCCGAGCTTCTGCGCGCCGAGCGCCGCATCCTGAGCCGCTTGGATTTCCGGCTGCATCACCCGGGCCCGCTACTTTGCCTCGGGCTACTGGCCGCGCTGGCCGGGAGCAGCCCCCAGGTGCAGAGGGGGAAGGGGGCAGAAGGGCAATCTCCCGCGGGTAGGGGCGTGGCCTGTACCGGGAGAGGGGCGTGGCTTGATCTCCCGGTGGGCCTTGGCAGGTGGTGCTACTTGCCACCTACTTTTTGGAGCTGTCTCTGCTGGAGGCCGAGGCCGCAGGATGGGAGCCCGGTCGGCGCGCAGCTGCGGCGCTGAGCCTGGCGCACCGCTTGCTCGACGGGGCGGGCTCCGGCCTCGAGCCCTCGCTTTACAGGTACGGCTCCAGGGGAGCGCCCCTGTGGCTACAGGAACCTACTTTCCTGGTCACTGTCTTTCCCCTCTGAGAATGAGAGACAATGGAGGGGGGGCACCCAGACTTGATTTTTCTGGGTGTGAGAGGAAATGGTGTCTGCCTAGTTTGGGGGTGTCAGAATGAGGTGTTTGTCCAGATTTGGGGACCCTTAACCTTGCCCCTGGGTGGAAGATAGCATATCTTCCGGGCCTCGGGAGATCCGAACTGCGTTCCAGGGTTGAGAATGAGAGATCTGCCAACCTCGGGTCCCCCAGCTCCCCTTGTGGCCGCAAATGGGGTCAGGGTGAGTCCTCTTTTCTCCCAGCCCGTCCCCCCCCCCCCCCCGCCTCCCCCAGGGTAGAGCTGGATGTCTGTCCATCCTCAGCCCCGCTCCGTCCCTCCCCGAGGTTCCGGCTCTCCACTGGCTCGAGAGAGCCCCTGAACGGTCCTCGGGGACCCCAGGCAACGTGTCTTCTCAGCCTCGAGCCCCCCCGCTCCGAGAACAGGTCGTCTTCACCGCTGCCCCTGCCCCCGCCTCAGTTTCTCCGTCTCCCCGCCTTAGCCCCGCAGAGTTGCGCCCGCTCGAGCCATGCATGGCCCGCGCCGCGCTCCGAGGCCCCGCGCCCGGCCGCGCCGCTATCTTCCTCAAGTACGCGCGACCCCAGCGCCAGGGCACCAGCCTCGCCGCCGCCCGCCTGCTCTGCCGCCCCCAGCCCGGGCCTCCCTAAGCCCGAGACCCCACCAAAAAAGACTGTCCGTGTGTATCCGTCTCCCACTTCAATAAAAGAGGTTTTTTTTTTTTTTTTAATTCTGAGCGCTCTCCGTCCTCATTGGGCGAATTCCGACTCCTCTCTCGCTTTTGATTGGTTACTCCCCAGGCTTCTCATCTTTCTGATTGGATGCTCTTTACCGAGTCCCTTAATGGCGGCTGCGAGACACGATGCAAATTCTGGACCCCTCCGCCAGGCGGCACTGGCGGACTGCCGCAAGCGCGGCTCGGCGAGCTAAAACTAGGCTCCCCAGCGCAAACGTCTGCTGGAGACAAATGGACAGAGATGCGGCAACCCGAGTGGCTCTCGGCCTCAGGGCTGGGAAGAAACTAGGAGGGATGGGGACTGTGGGAAGCTGCCCCACTCATAAGGAATGCTACCTCGATGTGGCCAGATTTTCAGATTTTGTTCAAGTGAAGCTGAAAATCTACAATTCCATAAGTATCTCTACTTCCATATGTTAGCAACTAATTCAGTATTTTTTAATGGTTGCACAAGCCCAGCACATCACATGCTGGCCTGTGGGAGTCATCAGTTTGTGATAGTATGGGTCTTTGATAGCAAGTGTTCTATAAATGAGATCTGATGTACTTAACCCCTAGAGTGCCACGGTGTGAATGGGTATAAATTGTAGCACCGGTCTCATAGAGGTGTGATGAGGGTGTGAGTTAATATAATATAGATGTAGAGCTTTAGGACAGTGCCTGACACCTAGTAGGTGTTATGGAATTACTAGCACTGCATCCTAGCAGGACTGCGAGCTAGGTACACTTGTCCCCCGTTTCTGCCGAACCCTCAGCACCTAGCTATTTAGTAAGTGCTCAGAAAATATTTGTTATAAATCAATGGATCTCCACACTTTTTAAATTAAAACACGCCTGAGGTGATCTCAGGAATCCAACCTCAGGAATATATTAGACTCTTAACCAAGCTTAGGTTTGAAGGTGCAACAGAGGAGGAAGCTTTTGCCCTGGAGATGTTCAAGGTTGGAGGACCAGAGAGGGGGAGAAACCCACTCGGCAAAGCTCGATAAGAGATAGAAGCAAATATGGCCATTGGGATGGAAGGTGCTGTGTTCAGGTTTGGACCTGTCGGGTGGGACCTGCCATGTGGCCTCCAAGAAGAGAATGTGCAGTGCAGGGGGAGGGGAGAGTGGAAATCTAAGCTTGGTGCTTGGGGCTGAGGCCCAAGCCAGGGTCTTGCAGGGTGCAGGGGAGGGTGGTAATACATAGTTATTCACGCACTCATTCCTTCAACAACTATACATGGATGCTGACTCAGCCAGGCACTTAGGGTCACATACCCCACAGTCTCATTGGTGATAAGAAATGGGTTGTTCATTGTCCATCCTGTGCCACGCCCTGTGCTAACTGCTTTATCTGCATAACATGATTCTGTCCCTACAACTACTCTGAAGTAAACTCACTTGTTATCCCCGGGTTACACAGAAGGAAGGCAAGGAGGAAGCCAAGGTCCCACCACCAAGTAAGCAGCTAAGGAGAGTTGAAGATCAACTGTCTCATTCACCCTGCTTTTCTCTTAAAAGCCTCTCACGTGCTTTCTTTTCTGTACACTCTTGTATTATTGTGCTGCTCACTCTGGGCTGTCACTTGTCTGCGTTCCCACTGCTTTTCCTACCCAGTCAGTGAGCTCGAGGAGGGCAAAAAGCAGATCTCTTGTTCATTGAGTTATCCCCTCCTCCAAGAAGCCTTCACTCACCACCTCAGTCTAGGGCAGGCACCTCCTCTGGACCTTCACAGCCCGTTGTGCCTCCCCCACCCAGGGTTCGACCCCCTATTCCTTTCCCGTCCCACCCTGGCCACTTTGCCAGAGCTTCCCAGGCTAGCCCATCAGGGCTGTCACTGTCTGGTCACTGGTCTGTCTCTCCGCTGGACTAGGGGTTCAGTAAGGGTAGGGGCTGAGGCTGTCCCAGTCCCTGCTCTTTCTCAGCATCACCCAGACCAGAGCTGGGCACAGAAGAGATATCAGTGAATATTTGTTTGTTGCATAGATAAACAAATGAGTTTCCAAGTTGCTATCATTGTCCTACGGTACTGATGAGGATAGAGAGTTCCAGGTAATTTGGGTGATTTGCCCAAGTACTACCACTAGTGAGAAATAAAAGCAGGGAATTGAATCCGGGCAGCCCGAGCCCATAAACCGTGTTCCTATCTAAATATGTGAAATGCCTAGGGATCTGAAAACCTGCTTTCCACGAGGTTGCTATCTCCCGGCTCTTTCCCCCAGACTTGTCTTTTCCTTCCAGAAAGCTTTGGGAGCTTTGGGCAGGGGGGAGCAGAGCAGGCAGGAGGGTGGGAGGTAAGGGGAGTGGGAAGAAGGGAGAGGCCGGTTGAACTCTCCCCAGGGTTGGGGCTGATTTGGAGGACAGAAAGGGAAAGTCCTGAGGGGTTCTCCAGACCCATAGGGGGCAGGCGGAGTCGGCTGCCGGAGGTGCGGGGGCGGAGAAAGGGTGGGGACCGGCCCCGCGGGGGGCGATGCGGTAGCTGCAGCGGCGGCCGCAGGAGTTTCCCACAATGCAGCGCGGCGCGCTGTCCCCGGTGCTGATGCTCAGCGCGGCCCCGGAGCCTCCGCCGCGCCCGCCTCCCGCCCTTTCCCCGCCGGGCCCGGGCCCCCGCCATGGCTCGGCTCGGCCCAGCCCTGCCCCCGAGCCGTCGGGGGGCCTGGGCGCGGCGCTCGACAGCAGCTTGCGGGCCGCCGTGGCGTTCAAGGCGGAGGGCCAGCGCTGCTACCGAGAAAAGAAGTTCCGGGAAGCCATCGGCAAGTATCATCGGGCACTGCTGCAGCTGAAGGCGGCTCAGGGGTCCCGCCCTGGAGGCCTGCCCGCCCCCTCCCCCGGGCCCGCCAGCAGCCCGGGGCCAGCCCGCCTCAGCGAGGAGCAGCGGCGCCTGGTGGAGAACACGGAGGTGGAATGTTATGACTCTCTCACGGGTATGGGGCCGTCGGGGGGGGGGGGGGCACAGAGGGTGCCTACGGAGAGGGGTGGGGAGTGACGGGCAACCATGAAGCCTTGGGCGGGGGGGCTGGAGGCTTGAAGGACGCAGACCTGGGGTTTGTGAAGGGAGACCCAAGAGCTTATCAAGGAGAGGGGTTGGGGTGTAGGGGAACACAGGGATGGAAGGGCTGGGATGCAAGAAATGGGCTTTGGGCTGTCACCTGCGAACCTCAGGTGAGAAAATCTTACCCTGGATTAGCGATTCAAGGCCCCATCCCTCACCTGAGATCGCCTTTAGTACTCTCCCCTGCAGAAACTTCCCAGCTAATCGCCCGCGAGCGCTTGTCTGTTTTCGCGCCCTCTAGCGGCGGCGCAGATTGATTCTATCCTGATTGGTCAGAAGATCGGCGGCCCAGGTGGCCTGAGCAATCTCTTAGGCCCGGCTCAGCCACCTGAAAGGGCTGGGGGCTCCTGCAGCCTGAAGGCCTGGCTCCTAGCAGTCAGGTGAGGGCTGGGGGTGCCCCAGGCTCTGCGACCACCGGTCCCGGTGTCTCCGCAGCCTGCCTGCTGCAGTCGGAGCTGGTGAACTATGAGCGGGTGCGTGAGTACTGTCTCAAGGTCCTGGAGAAGCAGCAGGGCAACTTCAAGGCCACCTACCGCGCCGGCATTGCCTTCTACCACCTGGGCGACTACGCACGCGCGCTGCGCTACCTGCAGGAGGCCCGCAGCCGGGAGCCCACAGGTGAGGGCCGGGCGAAGCAGGGAAAGGGGCTAGAGCAGAGGAAACAAACAAGGGAGGATCAGGGCAGAACTGCTTCGAGGGAGAGCTGTGCCGCCTCCCCCAGCATTTACCTCTCCATCCACCTATTCCTTACACACCCACTCAGGCACGCACCCGCCATTCACTCACCCCTCCCCTCCCCCATGTTCCTCTGACATGCACCCAACCACCTCCCATCTATTCAATCATTGACTCATCGATGCCTCCCACTCACCTACTCAGCCACTCCCTACCCACTCACCCCCCCATCTCCACCCACCCCCCATTCTCATTCATCCACTCACTAACCCATTCACACACCAACCCACTGCTCACGGAGCACTTGCAGGGAGGCAGACCCCAGGGCGGACACAGCTAAGACATTTGCAGGGGTGGGGTCGGGGTCAGGGTCGGGGTGGGGAGGCTTGGCAGAGCTGGAGGCTTGTTGCTTGCCCTCTAGGACATCATAGGGTGTGTGTGTGGGGGGGGGGGACAGACACAATATCAGTCTTGTATTGAGGGCCAATGACAAGGGAACAGGACAGGTACAGGACCCAGGGCTGTGGGAGCAGAAGCAAGATGAGTTTTCTTGGTGAGAGGTTTGGAGGGAAGAGACTTGTCGCAGTTGTTGGAGGGTGGGCAGAAGTATGCCAGCCGCGTCTGAGCAGAGGCGTTCCTGGCGGAGCGCACAGCAAAAGCAAGAGTATGGAGGGGTGACAGGCCCCCCGTTCCGCTTGTTGTGGCTGGGGCTTTGGGAGAAGGGCTCTGGCAAGAGCAGCTGTGCGGGGGAGCCACTGAAGGCTGGGAACAATGAGGTGTGAACTGTTGTGGTGCAGATGTCACCCGCTGCCCCGGGACACCCAGATAATGCCGTGCCCACCTCCCCTGCAGACACCAATGTCCTACGCTACATCCAGCTGACTCAGCTGAAGATGAACCGTTGCAGCCTCCAGCGGGAAGACAGTGGGACCGGGGCCGGGACTCGGGATGTCGTTGGCTAAGGCCAGCAGAGGGGGGCTTGCCCTCCCCCCCACTCCCACCTCACCGTGTAACTCCCCCCCGACTCGTGTGTTTGCTGGTAAAGCACTTGTCACTGGTGACCATAACCTCTTTGTGTGGTGTTCTTGTGGGGACCAGGGAGGGGACGTGTGGCCTGAGCTTCACCCTCTGGATCAGAGACCCAGAGGCTCAGGGGGGGAAGCGTGGGATGGGGTGTGGGGGTGCCCTCCCGGGGATGACCCAGGATCAGGGCCCCGGGCTGGGGAAAGACACAGCCAAGAGCGGTAGGGGGCAGGGGTTACCTTTAATGCTGCATTTTGTGCCGAATCCCTATGATGCCCTGTCCCTGAGTATCCCTGCCCACCCTCTCCCCCACCCACTGCAGGGTGGGCACTGGGCTCCACCCTCTGGGGTACAAAGGAATAAATTAAGTGACCCCCTCCCCCCTTCCCCAATAAATAGAGTGAGTATCCTGCCCAGGGCCTCCCCTCGCCTTGTGGCACGGCAGGCTGGGGCGGGGCCTGGGGCGCTACATTCATGGCTGCCCAGGCGGGCGGTGGAGGGTGGGCCTCAGCGGGAGCCATGGGCCCCGCACAGGGGCACTGTGCTGTCCTGGCTCTGCCCCTCCATGTCCATGTCAAGCAGCGTGGGCTGCATGCCGGGGGGTCCAGGGCTCTCTGGGGTGTCCGGCCTGCTGGGAGGCGAGATGCTGAGTGTCCGGCCAAAGGAGACCAGTTTCCAGGGGTCCAGGCGGGGGCGGCTGGCAGCCGGCCGGGGTCTTGGGGCGAAGGTCAGGGTGGTAGGGCGGCCAGGGAACTCGGGGGGCCGGCGGTGGGTCGGGAACAAGGTCTGGGGGTCGGGCAGGCGGGGGAAGTCCAGGGGTTCTCGAGGGCCTGGTAAGAGAGGATCAGATGAGGTCAATGGGGTGGGCCAGAGGGTGGCATTGAAAAGCCAGGACCTTTACGTGAGAACTGGAATTTCTGACTTACTTAGAAGTATCTGCTGATCTTGTTGGGCCCGCTTTCCAGCCGGGGGTGCGACCTTGACCTAGGCCCCGAGCGCTCCAAAGCGCTCACTCATCTGGGATCAACTCTGAGCATCTTCCTTAAGCTGTCAGAGCCTGTTCCCTTGTCACCCCTCTAGATAAAGCCGTCATCCCCCCAACCCCCCTCTGAGGTGCTGGGTGCATGCACACAGGCCTGCGGAGAGACCCGAGGCATAGCACGGTCTCTGAGGGGCAGGAGAGCAGCACCCTCCCTAGGCGAGGGGAAATAAAACGGTAATTTTAGGACAAGTAGCACAGTGCCTGGTAGTAGGTAGTTGACTCCCATGCTGCTCGCCTTTGTCGTTGTTAATAAATGTATGGGGAACATCGTCCAGCACAGGACTGTTCGCTATGGTTGTTACTGTTGCCAATAATGTCACCCGCCCGGCCCCTGGAGGCGCTGCGGTTTGCCACCTCTCCTGCATCCCTGGGGCTCAATCACCCGGGGACCCACCATGCCCCCAGCAGTGACGGCCGTGGGGACACAGACCCTTCCTCCCATGCAAAGCAGGAGGCCACCCTGGCATTGGGGCGGGGTTCGCCGCCGGGCTGGGACCTTCGGACCTTGGTGGGGGCAGGGGAGGAGGGTCGCTTTCTGCGCCCCGGGTGCGGGGCGCCTCACTCACCAGGGCGGGGAGCCGCGGGCTCAGGCGCCCCCCGCTGCCCCAGCGCCCCGTCCGACGGCGTCCGCCGGTGCCCGCGGCTCACGGCGCGCGCGGCCGTGACGTGGGTGGGCGTGAGCGACTGGCGGGGGTCCTTCTTGAAGCTCTCCAGCTCCAGGTCCACCAGGGGGTTGGTGCCGGGCGGGGAGGGCGGCGGGGAGGGCGCGGCCGGCGCGGCCTCGTCGCTGTCTGAGCGCAGCAGCGAACGCGTGGAGTTGCAGTCGGACACGGACGACAGCGACACCAGGGTGGCCGAGGGCGCCAGGCCCGGGCCGGGGGCCGCGTCGTCGCGGCGGCCGGGCGAGCGCCCGGGCGGACTGAGGCCCCGCGGGAAGCGGCCGGCGCGGGGGAAGAGGCCGTCCAGCCAGCGCCGCTGCTCCTCGCCGTCGGCCGCGCGCGCCTCGGCCACGTCGGCGCCCAGGCCCACGGCGCCCAGCAGCGTGGCGCAGCCCAGCAGAGCCAGCTCGCAGCGCCGCCGGCCGCCGTGGCCCGGCCGGGAGAGGGGCGCGGGCGCCCCCGGGGAGGGCTCGGCCGGCAGCGGCGCCGTGAGGTAGGACGGGGTGGTGTAGGGGGAGGGAGGCACGCTGCTGCCTCCGTCCGCCTCCGCGAACTCCTCTGCAACCGGGAGAGGGCCGGTCACTCGCCTCCGGGGCTGGCCGCCGCCCCCGCTGTCCCCGCGGCCCCCAGGGGACTTGGTGGCGAGGGGGCTGCCCCGAAAGACCCTCCCGGCAGTGCGGCCACCAAGTCCCGCCAGTCCTTCCCCCCACAGAGCCCCCTGCACCCATGGGCGCCCCCCCCCTTCCAGGAATGTTGCCGACCCACGGGTCCAGTGCCGTCGGCTCCCTCCCTACCCCCCAACCCGAAGGGAGCGGTCACCTCTTCCTCTCGGGCGATGTTTCCCTCCGGATGCCCCTCCCTCTCCATTTTAAAGGCACCCTCACCCTCTTACCCATCTCATTGAGGCTGGCGAAGCCTGGGGCGATCGGTGTGTGTTTGGGGGATTTGCCCAGGTTGGGGGCGCTAGATGACCACTGTTTGCTTCCTTCCCCCAGGGCCTTCAGCCTGCAGGGGGCACCAGAGATGGGGGAGGGGTTGCAGTGCCGACCTGCTGGCTGCTGGCTGCGGGGGTTGGGGGGGGGGGCAGGGGCAGGGCCAGCGGTGGGCTGCCAGCGGCAAGTACCTCTCCTCCCCTCCAGCCCGCTCCTTCTGCAGGGTGGAGCTGGGTCCCCAGGTGCGGCCCTTCTTCTTGCCTCCAACCAGTTCTTCCTTCTTTGGGGGCCCACTGCGGCCCCATGTCCCACTGCCACCACTGCTGTTGCCACCACCGTCCACAGGAGTCACTGGGCCCAGAGAAGCCACTTGGAGGCCAGTCTGTGCCCGCTGCGTTCCCTGCCTCACTCTCGGATCCGCCCTCCACCAACAAGTCCAAGGGACCTTGGATTCTAACTGCAGACGGGACCCTTCCCTTGCTGGTTCCCACCCCCCCACCCCCCTTGGCCCTTGCCGGTCCCTCTGGCAGGGACATACTTCCTTCAGATCCTGGCCCTCCTCCCTCCTTCTCAGCCCGCAGGTCCCTGCTCAAACCCCAGGTCCTTACACCACCTTCCTGATGTCAAACAGCCATTCTGCTCTTTTATTCCCTTCCCTGCTTTCCTTTACAGCGCTTATCGCTGCAGGAAATTGTCCCGCTTACGGACTTGTTGGCTTATTTATGGTCTGTCTCCCCGATGCGAATCAGGGAGGGGACCCTGCCTGTCTTGTCCCTGTCGGTCCTCCGGCTCAGCGTATGGTATGTGCACAGAGAAAGGTCGTTGACGACTGACGGATCAGGGCCTGGGAAGATACTCACGGCGAATGGCCCTCAGCCGGGGGATGATGCTGGGGCTCGACGGGGGGCTGGCCCCGTCGGATCCTTTCCGCTTGTCCAGGGTTGGAGAGGCCTGGACTGTGATCTTATGCTCGAAGCCTGCGAAAAGAAAGAGACTTCCCTGAGCAAACAGCATCGTGGGTAACCAAAGAGAAGGTCCCTTTGTAGAAGGATAGGAGTACTGGATGGGAATGCCACTGTTTTGCATTCCCAAACTGCCCATCTCACCTGGAGACCGGGGGTGGGGGGTGGGGGGTGCTCACTCTTGGGCCTTCTGCATCGGCAACTCCGAAGTGAAGGGCAGCCTTGTAACTGTGACGAGCCGGCCAGAGATGTCTGGTGTATGTGCGAGGTTGAGAGGCAAGATCCTAATTGGGTCCTTGATTAACTAAGGATTGACTACGGATCTAGGGCTAAGTGTCCAACGTGGTGGCCATTAGCCACATGTGGCCACGGAGCACTTGCCATGTGGGACTGCAGCTGAGGAACTGGAGAGTTTAAACTTCATCTGTGTGGTTGCAATGAATTTAAATTTAAACTAAAAACAGATACTCAGCTCTGTTATTGAAAACATTGAAGCGTGTTTTGAACAATTTGGGTATGTGAATCTACTTGTGTGTGTGTGTGAGAGAGAGAGAGAAAGAGAATCTACTTTCTCAACTGTAAATTTCATGAAATCCAAATGCAGGTCAAGTATTTTTTGATGAAAATTTAGCACCTGGACCGAGATGCGCTGTAACTGTAACACGTCCATTGGGTTTCAAAGGTGGAGTATGAAAAAAGGTAAAATCTCTAACAGTGTTTCTTGTGTTGATTGCATGGGACCCAGTAACGTTTTGCATATATTGGGCTAAATAAAATATATTGTTAAAATCAATGGCACCTGTTTCTCTCTCCAGCTTTTAAGGCGGCTATGAGGAGATTTAAAACTTCACCGTGTGGCTCGCATTAGATTTCTGCTGGCCAGTGCTATTCTGGGCGCGGCACTATGGCTTCTAATGTCCCAGAGAGAGAGTCGAGCAGACATCATGGGCCTGACGGAGGTGAGCACTGTTAACAGTGCCTAGGAAGCAGGCTGTGGGGAAACAAGAGCCCAAACCTGAACTTGAAACTGATTAAGCCACGTGAAACAAAAAAGGCTGAACGTCAGCAATTTCACATGGTTTAATACCACTTTATAGGAAATTCAGGGGACGGAGGGGCGCGTTAAGGATGACAGCGGGATGCAAGCCGCAACATCCGCTCCCGCCGTGGGAGATGCCGCAGGATAAATGATGTTCCTCAACAAATTATTGGCAAGCGGGGAGAAAGCAGCAGACTAAAAGATAATTATAAAAAATAGGTGGGAGACGAAACAATCAAGAGACGCAGAGGAGTGAATGCCCTGAAAGTCATCACAGAGGTTACTCTTGGGGCAGGGGGTGGCAGGGGCTGTTTGGAGGGGGCATGAGGAGGGCATCTGGAGGGGTGGATGGCGGTTCTCTCCGCCTTCATGCGGGTGATTATATGCGCTCCTGAAGCTGTTTTCTGGTCCTTTTCCATGTGGGTGATATATTTAGCACGGAAAAAACGTTTACAAACTAAAAGGAAGAGGTAAAGCCTGCGTGCGACGGC